AACAACTACGCCCCGTCTACGCAGCCTGCCAGTTTCTAATTATTTGGAATAATCCTTTCCGGCGTTTCTTTCAATTATAAAGGACTCATTTCATACGTAGGGGTCTGTGATCTAAAAAACACAATTGGTATGTTTACGTAGACACAAACACGTGGTGTGGTTTGGTATGGTCAGTAACTGACAACCTGCTGATGACAAATGTCAACACACCGGGTCAGTAAACTGACCACTACAATGATCGAAGGATGTGTTACGTCCATGCATCTAACAGTTGAAACATTTGTTTCTCTTTGTTGAAGTTCACGGATGACAAGGTAGACACAACTTTATGGGTAACGTCTACCTTGTCAATCGTTTTCTACCAAGGATTTACGATTGGGAGACCTCTAAACGTGTAAGTTATTTTCCTTTTCAAAAGAATAGGATTTCAATCAAAAGGTTACAGTTAAAATGACATATACAACGTTTAAATCTATAAGGTTATGGTGAATTTTGGCTCAGGCGAAACAATGCTTCACTTTGTATACATGTTAATACATTTGATACATCTGTGAGGTTTAAGTTGATTTTAACAGCCCGGGCCAGGTCGGACCGAACATTTCTGACTTGGATTTTTTTAAGAAAATACAGTAAAAATGCTTCACTTTAAGGGCGCAGATTTCTTTAAATGCGATACACCTGGACATTATAAATTGGTGTATAGGTAGATATAACACTAATCTATAGATTTAATCACATTTGAAGTTACATCTGTGTGTTTAAAGTTGATTTTGACCGCCCGGGCCAAGTCGGACCCAATACAAGCCAAACACTTCTGATAGAGACTATGTTGAGAATGTAGAGGGGAAAAGGGCTTCACTTTAAGCCCCATGTTTTCTATAAATACTGCGATCTGTGACATTATAAATTGGTGTATAGGTAGATATAACACTAATCTATAGGTTTAATCACATTTGAAGTTACATCTGTGTGTTTAAAGTTGATTTTGACCGCCCGGGCCAAGTCGGACCCAACACAAGCCAAACACTTCTGATAGAGACTATGTTGAGAATGTAGAGGGAAAAGGGCTTAACTTGGAGCCCCTTGTTGTCTATAAATACTGCAATCTGTGACATTATAAAGTGGTGTATAAGTAGATATAATACTAATCTATAGATTTAATCACATTTGAAGATACATCTGTGAGCTTTAAGTTGATTTTAACAGCCCGGGCCAGGTCGGACCGAACATTTCTGACTTGGATTTTTTAAAGAAAATACAGTAAAAATGCTTCACTTTAAGGGCGCAGATTTCTTTAAATGCGACACACCTGGACATTATAAATTGGTGTATAGGTAGATATAACACTAATCTATAGATTTAATCACATTTGAAGTTACATCTGTGTGTTTAAAGTTGATTTTGACCGCCCGGGCCAAGTCGGACCCAATACAAGCCAAACACTTCTGATAGAGACTATGTTGAGAATGTAGAGGGGAAAAGGGCTTCACTTTAAGCCCCATGTTTTCTATAAATACTGCGATCTGTGACATTATAAATTGGTGTATAGGTAGATATAACACTAATCTATAGGTTTAATCACATTTGAAGTTACATCTGTGTGTTTAAAGTTGATTTTGACCGCCCGGGCCAAGTCGGACCCAACACAAGCCAAACACTTCTGATAGAGACTATGTTGAGAATGTAGAGGGAAAAGGGCTTAACTTGGAGCCCCTTGTTGTCTATAAATACTGCAATCTGTGACATTATAAAGTGGTGTATAAGTAGATATAATACTAATCTATAGATTTAATCACATTTGAAGATACATCTGTGAGCTTTAAGTTGATTTTAACAGCCCGGGCCAGGTCGGACCGAACATTTCTGACTTGGATTTTTTAAAGAAAATACAGTAAAAATGCTTCACTTTAAGGGCGCAGATTTCTTTAAATGCGACACACCTGGACATTATAAATTGGTGTATAGGTAGATATAACACTAATCTATAGATTTAATCACATTTGAAGTTACATCTGTGTGTTTAAAGTTGATTTTGACCGCCCGGGCCAAGTCGGACCCAACACAAGCCAAACACTTCTGATAGAGACTATGTTGAGAATGTAGAGGGAAAAGGGCTTCACTTTCGAGCCCCTTGTTGTCTATAAATACTGCAATCTGTGACATTATAAAGTGGTGTATAGGTAGATATAATACTAATCTATAGATGTGAATCCATGTGATGATACATCTGTGAGGTTTAAGTTGATTTTAACAGCCCGGGCCAGGTCGGACCGAACATTTCTGACTTGGATTTTTTAAAGAAAATACAGTAAAAATGCTTCACTATAAGGGCGCAGATTTCTTTAAATGCGATACACCTGGACATTATAAATTGGTGTATAGGTAGATATAACACTAATCTATAGATTAAGTCACATTTGAAGATACATCTGTGTGTTTAAAGTTGATTTTGACCGCCCGGGCCAAGTCGGACCCAACACAAGCCAAACACTTCTGATAGAGACTATGTTGAGAATGTAGAGGGAAAAGGGATTCACTTTAAGCCCCATGTCTTCTATAAATACTGCGATCTGTGACATTATAAATTGGTGTATAGGTAGATATAACACTAATCTATAGATTTAGTCACATTTGAAGATACATCTGTGTGTTTAAAGTTGATTTTGACCGCCCGGGCCAAGTCGGACCCAACACAAGCCAAACACTTCTGATAGAGACTATGTTGAGAATGTAGAGGGAAAAGGGCTTCACTTTCGAGCCCCTTGTTGTCTATAAATACTGCAATCTGTGACATTATAAAGTGATGTATAGGTAGATAAACACTAATCTATAGATTTAATCACATTTGAAGTTACATCTGTGTGTTTAAAGTTGATTTTGACCGCCCGGGCCAAGTCGGACCCAACACAAGCCAAACACTTCTGATAGAGACTATGTTGAGAATGTAGAGGGAAAAGGGCTTCACTTTCGAGCCCCTTGTTGTCTATAAATACTGCAATCTGTGACATTATAAAGTGGTGTATAAGTAGATATAATACTAATCTATAGATTTAATCACATTTGAAGATACATCTGTGAGGTTTAAGTTGATTTTAACAGCCCGGGCCAGGTCGGACCGAACATTTCTGACTTGTTTTTTTTTAAAGAAAATAAAGTAAAAATGCTTCACTTTAAGGGCGCAGATTTCTTTAAATGCGATACACCTGGACATTATAAATTGGTGTATAGGTAGATATAACACTAATCTATAGATTTAATCACATTTGAAGTTACATCTGTGTGTTTAAAGTTGATTTTGACCGCCCGGGCCAAGTCGGACCCAACACAAGCCAAACACTTCTGATAGAGACTATGTTGAGAATGTAGAGGGAAAAGGGCTTCACTTTCGAGCCCCTTGTTGTCTATAAATACTGCAATCTCTGACATTATAAAGTGGTGTATAGGTAGATATAATACTAATCTATAGATGTGAATCCATTTGATGATACGTCTGTGAGGTTTAAGTTGATTTTAACAGCCCGTGCCAGGTCGGACCGAACATTTCTGACTTGGATTTTTTAAAGATAAAAACAGTAAAAATGCTTCACTTTAAGGGCGCAGATTTCTTTAAATGCGATACACCTGGACATTATAAATTGGTGTATAGGTAGATATAACACTAATCTATAGATTTAATCACATTTGAAGTTACATCTGTGTGTTTAAAGTTGATTTTGACCGCCCGGGCCAAGTCGGACCCAACACAAGCCAAACACTTCTGATAGAGACTATGTTGAGAATGTAGAGGGAAAAGGGCTTCACTTTCGAGCCCCTTGTTGTCTATAAATACTGCAATCTGTGACATTATAAAGTGGTGTATAGGTAGATATAATACTAATCTATAGATGTGAATCCATTTGATGATACGTCTGTGAGGTTTAAGTTGATTTTAACAGCCCGGGCCAGGTCGGACCGAACATTTCTGACTTGGATTTTTTAAAGAAAATACAGTAAAAATGCTTCACTTTAAGGGCGCAGATTTCTTTAAATGCGATACACCTGGACATTATAAATTGGTGTATAGGTAGATATAATACTAATCTATAGATTTAATCACATTTGTAGATACATCTGTGTGTTTAAAGTTGATTTTGACCGCCCGGGCCAAGTCGGACCCAACACAAGCCAAACACTTCTGATAGAGACTATGTTGAGAATGTAGAGGGAAAAGGGCTTCACTTTGAGCCCCTTGTTGTCTATAAATACTGCGATCTGTAACATTATAAAGTGGTGTATATGTAGATATAACACTAATCTATAGAGGTAATCACATTTGAAGATAAATCTGTGTGTTTAAAGTTGATTTTGACAGCCCGGGCCAAGTCGGAGCGAACTGTGTGACTGTCGAGAGTAGAGGGAGAAGAGGTCTACTTTAACCAACGTGTCTGCTTTAAATACGATGAACAGTGACGTTATAAAGTGGTATTTACTTAGATATAGTACGTTCCTATAATATAAACGCTATGCCGACAGATGGAAATTCGTATGACGATAGCTAGAAGTATTTGATACGTGTCAAATCCTATTTCGTTTAACGATTGCTCTTTTACATGTTACCTAGATCAGCGACGCTAACACACAGCTCCACTTTCTAGTTTTTAAGTGATTTACTCCGAATTACTTAATTATGCTGCACGTTTTGGATTGGTGATTGTTCAGTAGTGTCATGTGTGTATGTTGCATCAATAATATGTAGATATGATCGCCGATAATTAAGTAATTAGCCAATAACACTTTGGCCCGTCTTGGCCCGGCCCGGCCCGACTTTTAGGCAATCCCGCCCATCATCCTGTTCAAATAATCATTCTGTCACGATCACCCAGTTTCCCACGAGTTCTCGTACCTGAGATATTTCGAGAGTTGACTGTACGTCATGATCAAACTATTTATACGACATAGTGGAGTAAGAACGTTGAGTGAAGCCATGAACACTTTACACCAGGTAGAGCCTCTGTACATACCGCCACTAACAACGTAGTTAGCCACAAAGCCACTGTAGGTGACACTTCCATCTGTACGGAATTCCACCGTAAAGTTCCCAACAAATGTATCTGTAAAATATCAACAATACGTACATGAAAATAAAAGCGAAAACCCTTTCTGTATTTATTACAATTCATTATCCATAAATATATCTGTGAGGAGAGAAGCACACTCGATGCCCGTCGGGATGCCAACAATCTTGCATTAATACCCTGTCCCTCCAATTTCAAGTCAACGCTATCTTTGAGGAAGTCCAGTATTTCACATGCTGTTTTCATAGTAAATTTCAGATGTCAGTTGTTTTCATTTTTGTCAAGTTGACCTGAACCTTTGAAGATAGAGGTGTACACATCCCATGGACCACGGATTAAGATTTTCATGTTCGATTAAGGTCGTCAAGTGGTTTATGTGAGTCTGTTGAACATGATACATATATATGTGATAACAATGATCACTCTTTAATAGGGGGCACGGGTGGCCCAGTCGTCTAAGGCGCCGCGATTCGCTGTGCAGAGTTGCGTCCCTTGGCACGGCAGAAACCTATGATGTGGGTTCGAATCCCGGTTCGCCCCGATTATGTTTCTAGGTTTGTCAGCACCATACCCGAGCTCGCGGGTTTCACCGAAGTGGTAAACGTCTGAGACCTGCATCACCTGGGGCTTTCCTCCCACATTAAGCTGACACGCGATATGACTGGAATACTGACAAAGCGGCGTTAAAACCCAACACTCTCACTCACTCTTTAATAAATGATTGGTAACCTTGTTTACAACAAAACATGTTAACAAATCGAATGTTTAATTGTCAAATCATTATTAATAAAATGTATTGATGACTTAAAACCACGAATATGCTCTAGAGCAAACACGACTACAGTGAGAAGAGCGCCTTGCTCTTATTGTAACACTACTTCCTAGCGCATACACCCAGTGTCTGTCTGCTCGTCACAATACGTACATGTACTGCTGAATTCCGTGAAGCCACACCTCTTGTTCCCGCCACTGATGATGACCCAATCCCATCTACAGCTGGCATGGTTTTCCACAGCAAAGCTGCTGAAATCCAGTGTTATAGACTGGGTCTGTCCACTTCCCACAAACGTGTAGCGGCAGTAGATGTTGTTGGGGTACTTGCGGGGGGAGTTTGGACTACGAAGCTGGCCGCTGGATGCGGTGAACGTCTCATTACAGTTGGCTGAAAGGCGTAGTTATTTAACATTACGTTTATACCATCAAACCCATATACTAAGCCATGTACTACAACCATTTATTAAAAACTATGAACATGTGCCACATGATATAAGTACGCTTAAATTTACAGGTAACTTGGCTCTACATTGAAAACATGGTAAATTTATCCCAAATTTCATATTTGTGTAATAATCAACGACACCTACACAATATACTGATAAAATTCTTATGTGGCATCAATTTGGATACATACTTTTCAGGATCAAGTAGGGATACGAATACGCACATAGGAATAATATGATAGTAATTTTACTGTGCTAATAAAGAAATCCAATATCCTTACAGTTTTGTTTGAAATAGGCAATGGGAAATATCAATATGTCCACAATCCTGCGCTACCTAACATGAGAAAATCCTGTAGGAACAGTATATTTCCAGCATAGGATTCCTAGTTTATATTTCAATATTCGTCATACGTTTCTAACATCTGGTAACAAGCCTGTGGGTAACGGTGATTTTCCAAGTATTTGAGACAGCTACTACAATAGTTAAAACATAATTCATATATCTAAAGATCTTCCAACAACTGTCTTAGGAGAAACTAGTTTACTTACACACAATTATATGTTGAACAACGTGAAAGAATCAAGTATATTTCTAAAAATGTCACAGGGAAATGATGGACATTTCCTAAACATCGAAAAACAATGAAAATATGCTTTTTTATGGCCTATGTTGGATAAAGGGCCACCGAAATACTTCTAATCATTCATTAATTTTTAATATGGTGCCCTTAATGAAACCAGTTTTCTTAAAACACCAATCAATCTAATTGTCTTTGCAAGCCAATGCATGGAACAGTGTCATCAATAAATGTATAGCCGCTGTCCAAAAGGTAATAATAATGTTATTTCCATTAGGAAAAAAACCCTTAGCGGCATGGGTGGCGTAGTCGTCAAAGACGCAGCAGTTCTCTGTGCAGAGTTGCTTCCCTCGAGCACAATAGAAACCAATGATTGTGGGTTCGTATCCCGGTCCGCCCTGATTATGTTTCTAGGTTTGTCAGCATCATACCCGTGCTCGTGGATTTCACTAAAATGGGAGACGAGCTGCATCACTTCGGGCTTTCCTCCCACATTAAGCTGACGCGCCCAGATATAACTGCAATACTGTTCAAAGCGGCGTTAAACCACACTCACTTGCTCACTCTCTTTCTCACCCTGACAAATATCCCCATTACGCCACTAATTTTCATTTCTTCGACTATTTCAGTAGTTAAAAAACTTAAATATTTCAGACTTGATGTGAGGTCTTTTAACAGAAGATTTTTTAATAATACATCTCATAATATCAATACATATAACAACATACAAGTATTTCTATCCATCAAATCAAACATATGGAATCGCCCCATATTAAATGTGTGCAAAAAATGCGTGAAATCGACAACGCGACATTGTTCCATTCCAGGATTCCATACAAACGCTCTACAGAAGTCTATTAATTGAACATAAAACCTATTTTTGAACATTATAAGATACGTATTGGATAGTGATTGCAAAACAAAATATATTAGGAAATGTTGAGTAAAACCTATATGAGACTCATCTTAGATGTTAGTCAACTCCACCCGCAATCTTATACGAATTTCAAGAATAGATGTGAAAAGTTTAACCACAATAATGTTTAACAGTGAGATGTTTAACAGTTATCAAATAACTTGTAGAAAAGAACTATCATACCAACGATCCATCTTCCTGGAAACACTCCCGTGACAAATTCTGCATTTAAAAGTAATTCTGAATTCAGAACGATATTATAAAGCAATATTTTTTTATATGTACCAGGGTGTCGTAAAATCCGTCAACAAATACATGTACCAAGACACATTGTATGCAAGACGCCTGCTAATTACAACAGGGGGAGATCCATCTACTCGTATACTGAAGTGTATATCGTCAGGAACAAACATCATCAGAATCTAGACATGCCTAGGGGGAGTCGACGGTGTGTCACGTCTATCGGGAAAGGTCATGCATACGTACGTGTTGGCGGTGCTGTTGTTGTTGTAGTTGTTGAAGCGGTTGTGGGAACATCTGAAAAGATTTAACCAAAAAGGCATGATCTCATTTCGTAAACATTTCTATTTCTAATGTTCAAGGAGTCTGGTTGTAGTTGGTAGTCGCATCGAAATCATCACATTTCAACCGACATGCATGTGTTTAGTATCCAATATGACTACTTCACAACAGCTTTGGTCAACCTCCTCGCATCTTCTTCAGTGAACGTATAGCGCCGCTATAATATAAACATCTTTAAACAAGGATGTAGAAATTACATGACTCTGTCGCAACTTCTCAGTGCACTTACTTTTGTTAGCTCCCTTAAGATTACTTGACTACCCCTCTACAGTTTCTGGCTAGCAAACACCTACATGGCTCCTTCCTGTAGTTGATGACGAATCCCCTCCTTGTGACGCTACCGTCTGTCTTGAAGTACAAGATGAAGTTGTTCCTGAACGTATCTGTTGGCATATAAGAGGCACGAACTAAATTATAAAGATACAACATTTACACACTCATTCTGACCAGCATATGGAAGCTAACAAAGCACATGACTAAATATTAATGATACAGCTTTTTGTGAGTTTGGTTTGACGCCGCTTAAACAATATTTCAGAGAGATCATGGCGTATCATGTGTGAAGAAAGCCCGAATCGGCACTTCAAACCCACAAGCACGGAACGGCGCTCGCAAACCCGAATCTGGGTTTGGACTCTTGATCACAGGTACATTCGAAAGCGTATTGTAGCGACTGACCCAAGGGACGCCCCTGCCCCTCATGTTTAATGATATTTTTAACATGTGTTCCACATTAAACCAGAATTAACACCAGCACCCTGCCACATACACATAAAAAAAGAAATGTACGACGTTTCTGATTTTGTTTGTTAGATTCCATTGTTTTGTGCCATTGATATAACGAGTTGAAACTATTAATCTTCAAAAGATAAAGTAGTTGAAAGATACACAATAATATTAACAGCAAAATGTAATTCTCACACGTGAGAACCCTGCCGGCGTACAGAGAGCTCCCGCAGTATTTCCTGCTGGAAGTTGAGCCGAACTGGAGCGAGTCGTAGTAGCAGCTGGAGTGATCCTCAAGGGAGAAGGTCTGTACAGTGAGCTGCAGAGCCTGCAGGCTGGAGTTCCCCTGTACAGTGTACGTACAGTAGGCGTTGTTAGGGTAGTAGGAGCCATCTCCAGGGGTGCTCTCTATAGTGCCCTCGTCGGCCGTGTGGGTCAGGTTACAGCTGACTAGACACATGCAGAACATTGACAGCAAATACAGCGTAAGGGAATTGTGATGAATGATATAAAATGTATATATCACATAACATCTGTTATTGTTCAAAGTTATTTTCATAGAATGTTTTTTGTGTGAAGAAATGTGTCAAAGAAATTTCTCAACAGCAAGTAAACTAAAGCCGTGCTTCCTCAACATTAGACAGAGTGCAAGGAGCTTGCAGTGTTCTGATGTATCCTACATTGCGCCTACCTGGTGTTTTGACGTATGTTACATTGAATCCACTCCTTACTTCACGAGAGTCCGTTACAAAAGATACCTTGAAATCCCCACTCGACACAGAATCTGAAATTAATATATATAACAAATCAAATGTGTGTGTGTGTGTGTGTGTGTGTGTGTGTGTGTGTGTGTGTGTGTGTGTGTGTGTGTGTGTGTGTGTGTGTGTGCGTGCGTGCCTGTGTGTGTGTGTGTGTTGAGGTTATTATATGACCGTTAGGACACATCTTATTTACCCGACAGGAATATTAATCATGATCATTGTATTTCTCTTTACGCTAGGTATCATCAACGCAGAAAGCAATATTATCGTGTATGATTGACAAGGCTGCTTATGTTTCTTAGCTTAAACAACCATATGAAAGTCCTTGATAAGCACATGGTTGTGTAATGTACACAACTGTAGTGGAGCACTGGACCGTCATAGTCTTCACCTGCAATTCCATGTGTGGACCCTTCACTTTCAGCATCCGTGGTGATGAGGTCACGAAAAACAGATTTGACCGATTATAAATCATTATCTCTCAGGATCATATCTGAGCAAGTGTGTTTTACTTACCGATAAACGTGGAATACGTGAATCATTAACATTCCAAAAGTCTATTATTAAACTTGTCAAAATGCGTAAGTTTTCCAAGGTGTATTGAACCAAGCTCAGTGTTCACTGTGGGATATGTCATGTTGTTTAAGTGTCAGAAGGACTCACATATGTGTCAGCGAGGCCCTGTATATCTACAACGTGTTATGTCCAACTGTCACAAGTAAAGACTCAAATCAGTGTCAGCGGGGCATTGTATATCTACAATGTGTTATGTCCAAGTGTCACAAGTAAAGACTCACATCTGAGTGAGCGAGGCCCTGTATATCGGAAACTTTTTGTGTCCAAGTGTCACAAGTAAAGACTCACATCTGCGTCAGCGAGGCCCTGTATATCTACAATGTGTTATGTCCGAGTGTCACAAGTAATGACTCACATCTGAGTTAGTGAGGCCCTGTATATCGGCAACGTGTTGTGTCCAAGTGTCACAAGTTATGACTCACATCTGTGTCAGCGGGGCCTTGTATATCTACAATGTGTTATGTTCAAGTGTCACAAGTAAAGACTCGCATATTTTTCAGCGAGGCCCTGTATATCTAGATGCTATGTCGAAGTGTTACAAGTAAAGACTCACATCTGAGTGATCGAGGCCCTGTATATCTACAATGTGCTATGCCCAAGTGTCACAAGTAAAGACTCACATCTAAGTTAGCGAATCCCTGTATATCTACAATGTGTTATGCGCAAGTGTCACAAGTAAAGACTTACATGTGTGTCAGCGAGGCCCTGTATATCTACAATGTGTTATGTTCAAGTGTCACAAGTAAAGACTCGCATATTTTTCAGCGAGGCCCTGTATATCTAGAATGTGTTATGTCGAAGTGTTACAAGTAAAGACTCACATCTGAGTTAGTGGGGCCCTCTATATCGGAAACGTTTTGTGCCCAAGTGTCACAAGTGAAGACTCACATATGCGTCAGCGAGGCCCTGTATATCTACAATGTGTTATGTCGAAGTGTCACAAGTAAAGACTCACATCTGAGTGATCGAGGCCCTGTATATCTACAATGTGCTATGCCCAAGTGTCACAAGTAAAGACTCACATCTAAGTTAGCGAATCCCTGTATATCTACAATGTGTTATGCGCAAGTGTCACAAGTAAAGACTTACATGTGTGTCAGCGAGGCCCTGTATATCTACATTGTGGTATGTCCAAGTGTCACAACTAAAGACTAACATTTGATTGAGCGAGGCCCTGTACTTCTGCAATATGTTATGTCCAAGTGTCACAAGTAATGACTCACCTCTGAGTGAGCGAGGCCCTGTATAACGGCAATGTGTTATGTCCAAGTGTCACAAGTAATGACTCACCTCTGAGTGAGCGAGGCCCTGTATAACGGCAATGTGTTATGCCCAAGTGTCACAAGTAAAGACTCACATATGTGTCAGCGAGGCCTTGTATATCTACAATGTGTTATGTCCGAGTGTCACAAGTAATGACTCACATCTGAGTTAGTGAGGCCATGTATATCGGCAACGTTTTGTGTCCATGTCACAAGTTATGACTCACATCTGTGACAACGGGGCCTTGTTATGCCCAAGTGTCACAAGTAAAGACTCACATATGTGTCAGCGAGGCCCTGTACTTCTGCAATGTGTTATGTTCAAGTGTCACAAGTAATGACTCACATCTGAGTGAGGGAGGCCCTGTATAACTGCAATGTGTTATGCCCAAGTGTCTCAAGTAAAGACTCACAACTGAGTTAGTGAGGCCCTGTATATCGGAAACGTTTTGTGTCCAAGTGTCACAAGTGAAGACTCACATATGTGTCAGCGAGGCCTTGTATATCTACAATGTGTTATGTCGAAGTGTCACAAGTTAACACTTACACATGTGTCAGCGAGTCCCTGTACTTCTGCAATGTGTTATGTTCAAGTGTCACAAGTAAAGACTTACACCTGAGTGAGCGAGGCCCTGTACAGTATCTTGAAGTGGTGGTAGTGTAACCAGAGGAGCCCCTGTAGCTGAATCGGACGTAGTCATTGTTGCAGTAGGAGGAGTATTGAAGGTCGAGGGAAACAAAGTTGAGAAGGAGGACGTAGGGGGAACTACCGCCACTGATGGTGTAGGTGCACGCAAGATCGTTTACGTAGTTGCCGTCAGTATCAGCTGGACTTGCAAATGATCCCGTGTCCGTTGTGAATCGTTGGATGCAGTTTTCTATTAAAGCATCAAACAGATGTTCATCATCTCATTATATGGATTATTCGGACAAAGTACTTTTTAAAAACAATTTTGCTGAAGGGACACACATATTCTTTCTGATGCATTCAAAATTGTGAGAGCGCAATCATAGTTTTGGTAATGCTCCATCATTCTTTCAATTATTGATATCATGTTATGACTTGAAACTTACCCGGAACAATATTGTAGTACAATTGGAACGACGGTGCCTCCATATCAGGCGCATGGAACAAAGTTATCTGAAAGTCGCCATCATAGGCATCTGGAGGAAAGTGAAAAGCTCAATATCAGGTTATTTGCTCAAAGCAAATTCACCACAAACCATGCTTAAGGTCAATAAAAAAACTTGCTTAGATGTATTTGTGAAAATTTGCGAAGCTACGTTTATGGCTGTCAAAGGACCATTGTAGTCATTTATACAATTATCAATTCTCATATATATATATATATATTATTTTTTTCGAAAATATTTATTATCAATATTACATGTATTTAGAGCTTTAGTGAACTATCTGTAAGGTAATGCCATGTCTAAATACGTGCTATATCGTACTATTAAGAAAAACACTCCACAACCCCCTCCCATCCCACTCTCTAGCAGACCCTCATCTCCCCATGATGCACGATGTTATGGTAAGACCAGTACGTACATGATATCTCTGTGCCACTTGTTCCATTATCGCCACATCTCCTCTCAAGGCCATCAAAGTCTAGGTAGTTACATTCAGCATCTGAGACCAATCGGATGTGTATCTGTGATGCCGCCATGTTGTTCTGTATCCTGAAGTAACATGTGGAGTTGCTGCTATCGCTGGACATATTGCCACTGATGCTACCAGATCGGCCCGTGTAGGTCATGTTGCACATTCCTGAAAGAGAAACATACCACGCTGAAGGCACCCCTCACATACACAGGCATGAATCACAAGCACCATGAGAGAGAAACATACCACAGTGAAGGCACCCCTCGAGTACACTAGCATGAAACACAAGCACCATGAGAGAGAAACATACCACGCCGAAGGCACACCTCGAATACACAGGCATGAAACACAAGCACCATGAGAGAGAAACATACCACGCTGAAGGCACACCTCGAATACACAGGCATGAAACACAAGCACCATGAGAGAGAAACATACCACGCTGAAGGCACCCCTCGAGTACACTGGCATGAAACACAAGCACCATGAGAAAGAAACATACCACGCTGAAGGCACACCTCGAATACACAGGCATGAAACACAAGTACCATGAGAGAGAAACATACCACGCTGAAGGCACACCTCGAATACACAGGCATGAAACACAAGCACCATGAGAGAGAAACATACCACGGTGAAGGCACACCTCGAATACACAGGCATGAAACACAAGCACCATGAGAGAGAAACATACCACGCTGAAGGCACACCTCGAATACACAGGCATAAAACACAAGCACCATGAGAGAGAAACATACCACGCTGAAGGCACCCCTCGAGTACACTGGCATGAAACACAAGCACCATGAGAAAGAAACATACCACGCTGAAGGCACACCTCGAATACACAGACATGAAACACAAGCACCATGAGAGAGAAACATACCACGCTGAAGGCACCCCTCGAGTACACTGGCATGAAACACAAGCACCATGCGAGAGAAACATACAACGCTGAAGGCACACTTCGAATACACAGGCATGAAACACAAGCACCATGAGAGAGAAACATACCACGCTGAAGGCACACCTCGAATACACAGGCATGAAACACAAGCACCATGAGAGAGAAACATACCACACTGAAGGCACACCTCGAATACACAGGCATGAAACACAAGCACCATGAGAAAGAAACATACCACAGTGAAGGCACACCTCGAATACACAGGCATGAAACACAAGCACCAGGAGAGAGAAACATACCACGCTGAAGGCATCCCTCACATACACAGGCATGAATCACAAGCACCAGGAGAGAGAAACATACCACACTGAAGGCACCCCTCACATACACAGGCATGAATCACAAGCACCATGAGAGAGAAACATACATCACTGAATGCACCCCTCACATACACAGGCATGAATCACAAGCACCATGAGAGAGAAACATACATCACTGAATGCACCCCTCACATACACAGGCATGAATCACAAGCACCAGGAGAGAGAAACATACCACGCTGAAGGCACCCCTCACATACACAGGCATAAATCACAAGCACCATGAGAGAAACACATACCACACTGAAGGCACCCCTCACATACACAGGCATAAATCACAAGCACTATGAGAGAGAAACATACCACGCTGAAGGCACCCCTCACATACACAGGCATGAATCACAAGCACCATGAGAGAGAAACATACCACACTGAAGGCACCCCCCCCCCCCCCCCTCCCCCCCACATACACAGGCATGAAACACAAGCACCATGAGAGAGAATCAAATCACACTGAAGGCACCCCTCACATACACAGGCATGAAACACAAGCACCATGAGAGAGAAACATACCACACTGAAGGCACCCCTCACATACACAGACATGAATCACAAGCACCAGGAGAGAGAATCAAACCACACTGAAGGCACCCCTCACATACACAGGCATAAATCACAAGCACCATGAGAGAGAAACATACCACACTGAAGGCACCCCTCACATACACAGACATGAATCACAAGCACCATGAGAGAGAATCAAACCACACTGAAGGCACCCCTCACATACACAGGCATGAATCACAAGCACCATGAGAGAGAAACATACAACAGGCTCAAAGGCTCCACTTGGATGGACAGGCATGAAACAAATGATCCCTGAAAGATACTCCACTCTCTCTATGTGAGATATATGTCATTCCTATTCCCAGCTGTGCGTTTCGTGTACTTACCTGGAGTCACGCGATATAACACGGAGTAGTTTCCCCTCACGGCGCCAGTGCTGAAGTAATGCAGTTCCATTGTGTTGTCTTCTGAAATTGCTAGAAACGATATGGAAACACTCGTGAGTCAAATAGCTGGAACTGCTCTGTTTATTTCAACCTGAAATCTTAAAGAAAGACGAATCGATAGCAAACACATAATACAGCTGACTTGTACAGAAAACTTTACTTGTATCTTCAAACTGAAAAAAACCGTTCTGACCTTGCCACGATTCATTGCGCTGGCCACAGAATCGATCCCCGTCCTGACTGACATACTCTGTGGTGCACACGCCGTCTGTGCCCGCGTCCTGGAGCCCAAACTGGAGGGGGGTGAAGGTTACAATGAAAGGGTAGAAGGGCACAAGGAATGTGTAGTCACATCTGATGTCTCCACTGAAGTCCACGCCAGAAAGGTCAGGGTCGGAAATCATGCCACCCTGCTCTGTGTAAACCCGGGAGCAGTTGACTGATTAACAAAGACAAGTTACGTATCATAAAAATGACGAGAAATATAATGAAATGAAAGAAACAGATCTTCCAAATATCATACTAGATGGAAAATAAGATGCAGTTAGCGAATACCAAAGAAACAGCAATCTTATGTATGTTGTATGCATGATGTTTATCCAAATAAAATAATGTTTATTCTTGCGTACAAGAGTACATTTTCAATATATAAACAGTGTATTTCACATTCTTCCATACATTACAATGTCAGCCCGTTTCGATATCCCTGCTGGTTATGTTTCTACTGACGTGTTGTAGCTATACCAAGACGTACACGGGAGCACCTTGTAATGAAGTCGGAAACCTCGACGGGAATATGATGCATCTGATCGGAAGGTCAAACTGGTGTTGCCTACTGTAGAATCTGATGAATATACATGCATCAAACGTAAGGAATACATTAGAATGTTATCATATGCACCATTAGGTGCTTGACAGTGATTGCATTAGCCAGTTGAGATAAACACGAACATAGCATCAAACTAATGACTAAAAAAGCTTTCCCTTTTTTACTTAAAACCATCTTGTCCTGTGTATGTACATTAGTTAATACATTAGTCTATAACATGTTACATTTTGACCTACTGAAAGTCTTGACTGAAAGATGAACATGAAATTGAAAGATGAAATTTATCTAAAAATATTCCATGGCATTGCAATAAGGTACATACAGGTAACTCTGTGCTGTAGCATATACACTGAAGGTTATATACTTATGTTCAATATTAAGGGAACATGGAGGTAACTCTGTGATGTAGCATATACACTGAAGGTTATATACTTATGTTCAATATTAAGGGAACATGAAGGTAACTCTGTTCTGTAGCATATACACTGAAGGTTATATACTTATGTTCAATATTAAGGGAACATAAAGGCCACTCTGTGCTGTAGCATATACATTGAAGGTTATATACTTATGTTCAATATTAAGGGAACATGAAGGTAACTCTGTGTTGTATCATATGCACTGAAGGTTATATACTTATGTTCAATATTAAGGGAACATGAAGGTAACTCTGTGTTGTATCATATGCACTGAAGGTTATATACTTATGTTCAATATTAAGTGAACATGAAGGTAACCGTGTGTTGTAGCATATACACTGAAGGTTATATACTTATGTTCAATATTAAGGGAACAGGAAGGTAACTCTGTTCTGTAGCATATACACTGAAGGTTATATACTTATGTTCAATATTAAGGGAACATAAAGGCCACTCTGTGCTGTAGCATATACATTGAAGGTTATATACTTATGTTCAAAATTAAGGGAACATGAAGGTAACTCTGTGTTGTATCATATGCACTGAAGGTTATATACTTATGTTCAATATTAAGTGAACATGAAGGAAACCGTGTGTTGTAGCATATACACTGAAGGTTATATACTTATGTTCAATATTAAGGGAACAGGAAGGTAACTCTGTGTTGTAGCATATACACTGAAGGTTATATACTTATGTTCAATATTAAGGGAACATGAAGGTAACTCTGTTCTGTAGCATATACACTGAAGGTTATATACTTATGTTCAATATTAAAGGAACATGAAGGTAACTCTGTGTTGTAGCATATACACTGAAGGTTATATACTTATGTTCAATATTAAGGGAACATGAAGGTAACTCTGTGTTGTAGCATATACATTGAAGGTTATATACTTATGTTGGATACTAAAGGAACATGAAGGTAACTCTGTACTGTAGCATATACACTGAAGGTTATATACTTATGTTCAATATTAAGGGAACATGTAGGTAACTCTGTGTTGTAGCATATACATTGAAGGTTATATACTTGTGTTCAATAATAAGGGAACATGAAGGTAACTCTGTGTTGTAGCATATGCACTGAAGGTTATATACTTATTTTCAATATTAAGGGAACATGAAGGTAACTCTGTGTTGTATCATATGCACTGAAGGTTATATACTTATGTTCAATATTAAGTGAACATGAAGGTAACCGTGTGTTGTAGCATATACACTGAAGGTTATATACTTATGTTCAATATTAAGGGAACATGGAGGTAACTCTGTGTTGTAGCATATACACTGAAGGTTATATACTTATGTTCAATATTAAGGGAACATGAAGGTAAACGTGTGTTGTAGCATATACATTGAAGGTTATATACTTATGTTCAATATTAAGGGAACATGAAGGTAACTCTGTGATGTAGCATATAAACTGAAGGTTATATACTTATGTTCAATATTAAGGGAACATGAAGGTAACTCTTTGTTGTAGCATATACAATAAAGGTTATATACTTATGTTCAATATTAAGGGAACATGTAGGTAACTCTGTGTTGTAGCATATACACTGAAGGTTATATACTTATGGATAATATTAAGGGTACTCACATGATATGTTTCTCATGTAGGTCCCGCAATACCGCTGTCCATCCGGGAATTGAAGATAGTCGCCACTACAACCCCTTGAATAGTATAATTCGAAGTAGGAGATGTTGTAGAAAATGGTGTAGAGGTCGTTCCCGCCTATAATTGTGTACCTGCACAACGTGTTGCTCTGGTAGTAGTAATTACCGCCATTTGGACTCTCGATCACACCGTGGCTGTCGGTGAATACGTAGTCACAAATATCTGTGTGCGAGAAAATATGTTCATTGCATGGAGCTCACGTTGTCTACTGAAGATTAAACATACGACTGAGACAATGCCAGGAATGTTACTCACTTTCTGTGTAGGAGTATCTAATCCGAACTCCCCTCTTCTGGGTGGAACTGTCACTGTGGAAAGTGATGTTCAGATCCCCATCAACGATGTTATCTGGAATAGAAGGACATTTTCAGAGATGTGTCGCGTTATGGTACATATATAACTGCATGTTTTATGATAGATTAGGTAGATACATGTTTATAGATCAATTGAATGCATCACTGGGGATAATTACTGAATGGCTATTGATATGTTTAGAAATGTACATTGCCGAAATCTTATTGTTAGAGGCAATGGAAGTGATACAAAACTGTCATTGGCTAATTAATGAAATATTCTTTGTCTCTGACGTAACTCTGCACCATGTTTCATAAGTTTATGACTCGTTTACCAGTTTTACACACGTTGTATCTATCCCTCAATGCAGATATATTTATAAAATACGTTTTGTTTTTTACAATAGGTACCTGGCAATACACTGCCTCTAGTTACTTCCTTCCCCTATAATTTGGAATTTAAAGGTACCTAGAAATGTCCAGTAGGCTCTCCTGCACGTGTAATCAGACCTTTTATGAAGGTGTGGAATAACCTATTTTTATAAGCCTCGTACTTGGCTTATCGTCCAGGCATCAAAGTAAAGTGAATGACACAGACAGACAACTATTTCAAGCCTCATTTGGTCGTACACATTTTTTAACATAAATCGGTATACGTCCATTAATCTCAAACGGTCATATGACTTACGTATGTAAGATATAGGTGAAATCCTCGTTCCGCACATCCTGGAGGAAGAATAGCCGTCGTAGAGGACCTGGACATAGTCCATGCTGCAGGAGGTGGAGAAACTGTTACTGTAGGAGGAATAATATCTCTGTACGTCGAACTCCTCCAGTGTAATGTTAACAGCCCACGCCCCACCTGCTGGAGGCCTGATGGTGAACAGACAGTCGAGGTTAGGTGAGTAGGTTGCGCTGCCATCGTCAGGGACCTGAATCTGCCCTGCAGCATCTGTCAGGACCTGGACACAGCTGTCTGTGGATGAGGCAGGAGACATATCGACTACGGGTACGGTTCTGTGTGATGCTCATTTAAGGAAGACTTTTGTCCTAAATTCACTGAATATATTTTGTTGGTAATACCTTCTAGAATAACGATGAGAGAGTACAAAAGTCAAGATGGAAGGCAGCCTCGGCCACAATCAGACTCTGTCGATTCTCATGTACATTTGCTGCAGTAAGGACATTCGTATGTCACGGTTAATCAAGCTCACTTACTCACTATTAAAAATAAAAATATACGTTCGTTAATACTTACTTTGTTCATATGCATAAACCATCACAAATCCTCGTCTTAGTATAGATCTATCAGTGACGAAATTGATGACAAAATCACCTCCAAAAGCATTATCTGAAATATGTCATTTGTGTTGATGCAAATAAAGGTTATAAGAATGTTCAAAATCAAATATTTTATACCTCCCTGTTACATGCTTCCAATGCAGCCTTCATCCATGCCTCCACACAAGGACTGTCTTAGTTGACAAGAACGCACAACATGTCTTAGATCGCTCATTAAGTATGAAATACAAAGTGATAAATAATAATGGGTGCTAGACATCCAGATCACACCAAGTACATTCAGAATGTTAACTCAATGTAAACAGTTTACATACTTGTAATCGTAGGTACAGTAGATCTTTTATCTACAACTGTCATCTTGTATGCCTCACTTCAGAGGGCCGTATTACACAATGCATTGTTTATTATACAAACATTGTAAACATATATACTAGGTATCACTATACTGAATGACACTGTTGCACCTTTTAGTATTGTTTGTTTATGACTACATGGTTAGAGTTTAATGAACATCAAGGATCGTCTGAAATGCTACATTGGTGTCCCAAACATATTTTTTACGAGAATGATACAAACAAAATAAATCCAAATATTATTCTAGACAGGTACGAATAAGATTATGTCCAAGGCCTTGACAATAATAACTTCATATACTATTAGCTGATAGCTTGGTTATGATTTGAATAAAACCATATGATCTTCAAACGTGAATCTGTTCTGAAAAATCTGTAGCTTGTATACAATGTTCATGCGAATCGCCTTTTGGCATTTTGGAAGGCCTTTTGAAGTCAAAGAAGCACTCACACAATGTTTCATAGCGTGCATACGTTTTGAATGTTTTGTGTTTACACAATTTAGTCCACATGTCGAAGTGATTCCAAGTGTCAGCATCATCTGCCAGTCCACGGAATACACTCTTTGTACTTTCCCTCCTCGCGTATTGAGTTAAACCACACTCATGGCGGTTTTCAATCAATATGAAAACAGTCTTTGTCTTTTCTCCTTCAAGAATGCTTATCTTGAGACTTACTTGGAATTACGTTTTACAGTTTATTTAAGTTTTCATAACATTTGAAAACGTGCGAAAACGTTATCGAGATTAGTGTGTGATATCTTGTTGTTATGGGAGACAAAGTGAACTGACAAGTTACACATGCCTAGCACAAAACGAATCTATGTGTGCAAAGCAAGTGTGTCATGTCTGCATTGACAGAAACGGTTGCAGCAGCTGATATAGTAGCCTATTGTTAATGTAGAATATAAAGGAGATTTGATGTCATTAGCAGAATCATGCCACGCACATACGCATTGAGAAAAAAGATTATGTACTTTTCAAAAGTGGTGGTCTGATTTGTCTAGCTGTGGTATAAGAAGACCAAAGACGCACACTGTACATTGTTCACATGTTTGCCCTTAAATATGTGGAAATAAGAAAAGTAGGTTTATAAACTGAGGGTCAAAAGAAACGTTACCAATATTAACTGATTTGCCACTTTGAAACAAAGATGCCAACCTGTTCAAAAACAGTAAAGAACACATCTCACCAATACAGCCTTCATGTTCTCTGTCGTTCTTGGGACGTGCCTTGCGGATTTTGGGAGATATTGGTGTTTTTCAGCAACTTTTTAAAACATTCTTTCTTAAATTATCGTGCAATTTCCGTGTATAAATTACGCAGGGATCTGTTCCGTGAATTAGTAAATTCGCATTTTACTGTTCTGAATGATGAACTTCTACAGTATAATTGTTATTGCTGCTTCAAATTGTGTTGGTCATATTTTATCCTAGAAATATCATTGGTAACGTTTCTTTTGGCCGTCAGTTTAGTATTACAGTGTAACATGAGTAGAAAATGTAATATTTTTGTCAGAATTTTACCCGAACATAATTTGCCTTCACCTTTACAGTCGTTTTCGTCAAACCAACGACAGGAGTTGTTGCTATACGGATGTAGAGTGAATTATACTATGTTTTCAAAGTGCATAATAAGACTTACAGAAGTACGTTCTTGGTGATCTCATCCTGCCACACAATCTGCTGGTGCCGGTGAGTCCTGAGAACTTGGTCTCCACGAAGTCGTAGCTACATGATGTACTCAGACTGTAAGATGAGGAGTTGTAGTACGTCCTCTGAACGTCAAACTGAGAGTACGTCAGAGTGAACCTGTATGGACCCTGTGTTGGAGGTCTGATGATATAGGTGCAGTTCAGATTATTTCTGTAGAGACCTGTACTGTAGACGGGACTCCTTATTGTGCCATTAGAGTCGGTAAATAGCTCATCGCAAAGATCTGAAATACCAAAATGATGAATAATAATGATAATGATAGTTAGGATTTCCTTACTCGGGAAAGAGTATATGTTATCTCGATATTGATTTATTTCCAATGGATTGGTTTGGGAATCCGTCATGTCCATCGATCTGTTATTGGTATGTTATTCGTCAATCTCATCAATTTATATTCTAATTCGTTTGTGAATGGGAATCTTTTAAGAATATCACATAAAGTATACCATTACCTTCTTCAACCCTGTACGACATATTGAAACCTTGTCTGCTGATCTCACTGTTTGTATGAAGGATCAAGTCGAATTGTCTCGCATTTGTGTACCCTTCAAGAAATATAAAAAGTATTGGTCTTACTTTGAAGAGCAGTAAAAGAGTCCATTGACGATAACAAATCACGATGATTAATTTGGCAAACATAATATAACACGTTACTCACAGGTAAACCTGGTTCCTGCAGCGATGGCACCACAATACCTCCCGGAAATGTAGGACCCGTCTGTGAAGAATATGTAGTCGTTGTAACAGTTGCTCGAACTGTACGATGGAGATTCAAGGTCGAAAGCATTGACGGTGACCGTGACCTTAGTCTGGGTGTAGGATGTGAACATGGTGTATCGGCAGTCAAGGTTGTTGTGGTACAGACCACTGCTTGCCAAGGGGCTGATGAGAGTGCCTTCAGTGGTGTTGTACGTTACCAGGCATCCAGCTGAAAATTGATGCATGCTATGAGATCAACAACAGGATTATAGGATTTTGGTAAAGAAGGGCAAGGTGCCATTGTTTCTATGGACATAATGTCATGAAAGGAACGTATCATCCAAGTAGCAGCTTAATGTTTTTTTGCAATTTATAAAGAATATGGGTATTGTCTGTGACTGATCATTCTGATTGAAAACGATTTGTGATCACAGACCCGGAGCAATGTGCATCATGTCATTGACGGTCTTTAAGAAAGAGAAATTAATGATTGACATAGTCACCTGGCACGATCTTGTAACGGATGTTGAAGCCCACGTTTGTCTGATTATTGTCACTGATGAAGGTCACGACAAACGTACCGTCAAAGTTGACTGTAACAGAAAGAGGAATAATATGTTATAAAATGTCAGACTGTAGAACGTGAGAAAGATAATCACACCTATATCAACCAGGACAATTACAACATAGTTATTTGTTATGGACCTTTAGGCAAGAGCTCTTCTGTGTACGTGACTAATACCAGATTCATTAATTACATTTGGCTGCGCATAAGAATAAAGGGGATAAAAGCCCTTCACTTACAGCTGCGAGTCCCGTATTGGTATCCACACAGTCTCTCTTCGCCATTCATATCCACATAGTCATTACAGACAGATGTGCTGTTGTCAGGGTCCTCCAGGTGGAACTGATTGAGACTAAAGACAATTGTCTGACCCACATCGTCATCCCCCTTTATTGTGAAGATGCAGTGAGTGCCGTCGTTGTAGGAACGCCTGTACACTGACGCATAGTCATAACCAGAGTAGCTGTTGATGTAGCCCGCAGTGTCGGTCAGCGTTATATTACATGAAACTGAGAAAGTGACATTATTCATCTGGACGCAACTTATCAAATGTGTATACATAAAATATATCGATATATAGAATGGGTAATTTATTGAAAATGACCATAAAACCACATAAAGAAACATTCTTAGGGCAATAAACCTAGTTAACAGTTGATCACTTACTATCATCGAGATAACCTACCGGGCCTTGTGTTGTAGTAGATGTGAAAGACTTCCCTCCTCCCTGTGACTGAATTAACAGAGTGATGATACCTCACAGGCAGCTCAGGCTCCTCGGATGAGACTGGAAACATATCAAGTTACGACATCTATCTCGTTATGGAGAAGAAGGGCGTTATTACACATCATATATTAGTGTCAGTATCCTGATCAGTTTGATGTTCAGCACACCTTTTCAAGATAGATAACTTGCACTTTATCTGCTGGGTATTTGCGCTACGAATATGTCCCCAGCAGCCTACGTTGGTCATAGGACGCAGCCTCTTGGAAAATGGTTCGGGTTGTCACGTAAGGTGGCTGATATATACGCGTATCATCTTACACCAACGGTGTTGATCGTTGCTACCAATACCGCTCACTGGATTGTCTGTTCCAGGTTCAATTATTTAAAGGCCGCTGTCACAAAGCTATATTATAACTTGAGTGTGGCATTAACGACAAACAAACCAAAAAACATATTCTTCAATTTCTAAATACTATAACAATGCGACACCCTATATTTTTAACTTTTAGTACAGTTCTTACAGTTATACTGGCCATAAACGGTTCCACAGTACTGTATGCCGTCGATCTCCACATAGCTGCCAGAACACGTGCCGTTGCTGCTCATAAAGTTGTAAGGCATATAGAAGGGACTGAAGAACATTGTCAAGATGAATGGGTAGTAGGGGGGACGAATGATGTATTCACAGTCCATTTCGTGTGCAAGAGGAACTCTTGATACAGTGTAGGAATCCAAATTCCCTGACGTTGAACGATATACTCGATCACATGTGTCTGAAAGAAAACGATGTCATGATATGATTTTAGGGATACCAAAGGTGATAATCAGTGTTTTCCTGTATTTCAATTCACTAATTTACAAAATCATATACTATTCTAAAGAACACTAAACGTGTGTGGGACAATCATTCATGCACTGTAAGTTTTGAGTTTCTTCTAACTGTTGAACGGTGACTGGACACATTGTGCTCTTCTGTTCTTTGAAAAAGACAGAGAAAATAATTCACAATATATTCATCGAACTATCGACGCATTTTCTTTTCTTTTCACCACACAAGGAATCTATAATGCCACTTACAGTTAGTTACAAGGTAGTCGACATCCACTCCTCGTCCTGTGCTGTAACTATTGGACAAGAAGGTCATGTTGACCCTCCCTGTCATATGGACTGAAGGAAAAAAGCGCACATCCAGTAAATAATAGTAGTTTTATGAGTTCTAAATGGACACATTGAAACCTGTATTTTCCCTGAAGTAAAGTCGTACTACCTGTTTTTCGGCATTCCCAATTTTAGATTATACAAAGACAATATTTCATCTATGTAGCTCACTATTTATGTTTTAGGAATAGTATTTTGGATCGGAAAGGCTATACAAGTACAATAATGAATAGGCAAAGGAAATAAGACATTGGTACACAACGAACAAGGATGTGCAGGTAAATATAAACAATCATCAAGATTGCAATAACATAACATACTACACAGCAAATAGAAAATGTGTTACAGGGCACAACACACACACACATTGAAAACTGTATTTTCCCTGAAGTAAGGTCATACTAGCTGTATTTCGGATAACCGATTGTAGTTTGGCTCCTCGAGAAAAAAAACAACATACAAAAATATATTGTCCTGATCCACAGCAAATCCTCAAAAAGTGACCTGGGGTACAATGAATTAATGCTAAACATAGCAGAGTTATACCCCCACTTCTTTGTGCATATGTTACCTCTGTGTGGTCTTTTGACGTCATAGAGAAAAATTGATTTTCGTCCTTTATAGCAAGCTATTTTGTGTTGAATGTATAAAGTTATATAATAGCCAAAAAATACATTTGATATTTATTTATGTCATTCAGAGCTATTAAATAACAAAAATTGTTGCACATTACTTTTATTGGCGTAGACTAGAAAGTGGAGAAATTTACTGTTTAACAACGCTTTACATCATCTCGGAAAGCACTCAGCAGTCTTCTTTTTTTTCAAACAGGTTTCCAAGATTTGCAGTTAAATTCACACCATCAGATGGGAAAATAAATAATCCACATCCATGCGTAATTTTAAGGTGAGCGGTAGATCTGATGCCACGCGAGTCCATTTTTCGCACAACATTCACTTTCCAGATCATATGAAAATGTGCGCTACAAACATTACTCAGTATTCAGGGGCTTAACGTGACGGCAATGTATGAAAAATTAGAAATTCTTATTGGCGGGATTCAGTGTAAAGACCATCGTTGGGTTTCTTGAGATTTGCCAAGTAATTGACGTTGTCACTTCAGTCATATGCTCTAAATAGTAGACTGCGTGAAGAAATATAGAAATTAACATAGATTCACTACTCACATGTAGTCTGGGTCAATCTGTTTCCACAGAAACGCTGTCCGTTAACGATGAAATAATCACCACAGTTTACATCAAAGACCCTGACTGTGAAAGTAACAGTCTTGAGGGCATCTCCCAGGTCCAGGTAGTAAATACACAAGGTGTCTGTTGGGTAGGTCACCCCACCCTCAGTCACAGGGCTGCGGATTGTACCAGTATTCTGGTCGAGGTCCGTCACACAGGTGTCTGAAATGTCAACACATTATGCTATGTCAGTTTGCTATAATATATAGGTTTGAGCACTTGAAATGAAGCTGTGGGGGTGACACACATTTATGAAATATTTCTGTCATGTAGAGTTGTATATGCATCTTCATTTGGGGGATCAGGTTACAAGTTAAAACGGACTGGAACTGCAATAGAGATTAGCATTTGTAACAAGCTGCACCTTTCAAAATGCACAGGGATAATTTATTGATAAAGATTAATTGTGCTTCATTTAGTGAGTATTTGTATACACAAAATCAGGGCATATAACCTTCTATTGCAAGACGTCTGCTTACTTTCAGTGTAGGAGAAAGATATGTTGAAACCATTCCTCTGAACGGAGTCATCACTGTGGAAAGTGATATTCACATCACTGTCATAGATGTTGTCTGAAGATAAGGAAGTAAAATGTATACACATATAAACCACCATTTTAAACACATGTAATTGTCTTTCTTCGGTCTCTGATCCATGGGACATTTGTCCATGAACGTGGAGACCAGATATGCAGTTAGTATCTCTATCTTCAAAGGTTCAGGACTATTTGTTAAAACTAAATCAAATGTTATCTGAAGTTTACTTGGAAAACACTTCGTAAAGTGATGGACTTCCTCACAGAAAGCATCGATGTGACATTGGGAGCATGATATTGATGCAATAATTTAGGCATCCCCATGGGCACCAACTGTGCTTTCCTCCTTGCAGATCTAATTTTTTACGCATACAAGTCAGAATCTCTGCACTAGTTGGAAAAATAGAACAAAGGAATTTAGTGAAAAAGTTAACATCAGGGTCAGGTATTTCGATGATCTGATATCATTCAATAATGGTCAAATAGCCAACTCCCTTCAACTGATTTATCCACCCCAGCATTAGATGAGAAATCCCGAGAGACTGCCTCATCTGATTAAGATATATGCCTACAGATTCAAAGTAACAATAACTATCCACAACACTGGATGAAAGAAAGGATGACTTCATCTTTCCAAAGGTCCACTTTCCATTTATGTCCAGCAATATGCCAGCAGCTCCAATGTTTCACATCTTTTGAGCAACAATCGAGCAAATCCATTTAAACATACATTAAAGATATCATGTGTACATGTAAAAACATTGTTTTATCAAGCAAATGGTGATGGCAAGCATTGATGGTACAAACATATGTAAGATTTTGGTGAAGTCCTTGTTCCGCACATCCTGGAGGAAGAATAGCCATCGTAGAGCATCTGTATGTAATCCTTGCTGCAGGAGGTGGAGAAACTGTTACTGTAATAAGAATAATATCTCTGCACGTCGAACTCCTCCAGAGTGATGTTAACAACCCACAGCCGACCTGCTGGAGGCCTGATGGTGAACAGACAGTCGAGGTTAGGTAAGTAGGTGGCGCTGCCATCATCAGGGACCTGAATCTGTCCATCAGCATCTGTCAGGACCTGGTAACAGCTGTCTGTTGAGGAAGCAAAAGAAGATTTGATCTGTATGTTATACCAACGTTAATCTGGACTAATGCAATGATATATATATATATACACAGTTAAAAACACTTATAACAATAGCAAATATTTTTCCAGAAACATCATCTTTCTCGAGACTGAATAATACTTACTGATCGATCATATGGCAAACGAAAGAATGCAGTTTTAAGCAATATTAGAAAGTTTGACATGGCATTAATATGGGTGACCATTCACGTCATCAGATTGTGATGACACATTGATGTAGGTCACAGCAATGAGACAAAACTTAACAGTATCTGCAATATGCATATGGTTACCATATATAAAACCGAAATACACATTTTAATATCATTCGACAAAACTTTCTGACATGTGAAATATATTAGCCACCATTTTTAAAAGAGAGACGTGATGAGAAACAAAGGTAAATCTTTTACTCCAGAACAATGGCTATCATATATGAAATTGAAATATGGCCCAAACAACTTTTTTATCTGGATCACCATGGTGATTCCTCTGTTGGTCGCAAGAGACGACATAATTGAGAGGGTGGTCAGCCTCTGTGACTAGGTTGATGGCATCTTGCCCCAGCGGCATGGTTTGTTCCTTGTGTCAGTGACTGATTTTTCTGTTCCAGAATAGCATATTTTATTAAAGGCTGGCCTCATAAAGATAGAATATTGGTGAGTGCGGCGTTAAACATCAAACGTACGGACCGGGAACGCACGCACGCATGATGAAAGAGTAAAAGGAATAATATCGACAACTTTAAACTGCACACGTGTATCTCCGTCAATGTAGATATTGACATCAAGACACAAAACTGTAAACAGGGTCCATGGTTAAGGGAACTCTCGCCAGTAACCTTATATATACACGTTGATTTGATCATGACGTCTTGTATGGCCTATGGTTGATGGCATTGTTAACAGGTGATCGAATATACAAGCATAGTGATGGATTCAATAAACATGTGACATGTGAACGTACTTTCGTCGTATGAATAGTTCAGCACAAACCCCCTTCTCTCAATGTTGCCGTTTGTCACAAATTTGATGACTACATCTCCATTCATACTGTTATCTGAAATATAAATACTTCACTATTACTTGAAATTCTCACAATTCTCGGTTATATTCCCATGGTTATATTGCCAATGTCCATCACTGGCCACATGTGTCTTTGAGCAAAAAACATTCGAAATATGGTATGTCTGGCCACAATCACGTGTTTTATTGATGATGATTGTTCCCGCATCTGTATAAAGAACAATCACGTGGGCTTTTACAAAATTGAATATTTCTTTCTTAATCCAGGATTCCTCATTAATGCTTATAAGGTAGATGGGACAAAAAACAGACAAGTTAAATGTGGAAAATATAATTATTATATTAGGTGAGGTGATATGAAATGAGGTTTAACGTCGTTGCGTTCACGATTATTGCACTTATATAGCGACGTGCATATACGTCTTTGTGTGTTCTTGGCTGTTTGTACAAGTCGGGACTAATGTCGATTTTGTAATGCTAGCCCACTGAGATACCATGCCGTAGATTAACACGAATAAACCACTCAGACACAGTATACTGACTTCGTGCCGACCAGTCCTGTTTTAGCCCTTCAATGTCGAGCGACAGGCAGGGTAACAACAAGTGCTATCTTTTAACGTTTTTTGGTATGACGCCAAGGATCGAACTCCCGACCTTCCGCTTTCCGGGCGGACGTTCTACCACAAGATCACAGAGGCGGTGAAATAGTATATAATAAACTTAATAAAACCCACATGTAACGGACAGTACAACTTAGTTGTCAATCGTAGAAGAGAGATATGCATATTTGCAAATAGTGATGGCGCCCCTATCCTACTATAAAGATTATAATATATAGTTATTTCCTTCGTTAAATCAGGCGATAGGAATTGTACTAATTAATTTCACTGATTTGAACTCAAACGATTTTGGTAGCATGGTACCTGCAATGAAGCACAAATGTATGTATACACAGTTGACACACTCACGGGGATCATGACTTACAGAAGTACGTTCTTGGTGATCTCATCCTGCCACACAATCTGCTGTTGCCGGTGAGTCCCGAGAACTTGGTCTCCACGAAGTCGTAGCTACATGATGTACTCAGACTGTAAGATGAGGAGTTGTAGTACATCCTCTGAACGTCAAACTGAGAGTACGTCAGATTGAACCTGTAAGGACCCTGTGTTGGAGGTCTGATGATATAGGTGCAGTTCAGATTACGTCTGTAGAGACCTGTACTGTATACGGGACTCCTTATTGTGCCATTAGAGTCGGTAAATAGCTCATCGCAAATATCTGAAATACCAAAATGAGAATTATGATAATGACGAAAATCTTTTCTTTCAAGGGAGAATGTCGTCTTTCGAAGGAAATAAAGTGTTATATCAATATTGGAATATATCAAGATGATTGGTATGGGGAGTATATTAATCCATCGATCTTTTATATGCATGATATTTATCAGTCTCGTCAATTTACGATCTCATACCTTTAAGTCTCTTTTAAATGTATCATATCGTATAATTTATGCCATTACCTTCTTCAATCTTGTAGGACGCATTGAAACCTTGTCTGCTGATCTCGTTGTTTGTATGAAAGACAAAGTCGAATTGTCTCGCATTCGTGTACCCTTCAAGAAATAAAAGTGCATTTGACTTACTTGAAGAGAAAGATAATAAAGATAATAAACAAATCATGAGTACTATTATATTTAGAAATAACATGAACGTTACTCACAAGTAAACATGGTTCCTGCAGCGATGGCACCACAGTACCTCCCGGAAGTGTAGGACCCGCCTGAGAAGAATATGTAGTCGTTGTAACAGTTGCTCGAACTGTACGATGGGGATTCAAGGTCGAAAGCATTGACGGTGACCGTGACCTTAGTCTGGGTGTAGGATGTGAACATGGTGTATCGGCAGTCAAGGTTGTTGTGGTACAGACCACTGCTTGCCAAGGGGCTGATGAGAGTGCCTTCAGTGGTGTTGTACGTTACCAGGCATCCAGCTGAAAATTGATGCATGCTATGTGATCAACAACAGGATTATAGGATTTTGGTAAAGAAGGGCAAGGTGCCATTGTTTCTATGGACATAATGTCATGAAAAGGAACGTATCATCCAAGTAGCAGCTTAATGTTTTTTTGCAATTTATAAAGAATATGGGTATTGTCTGTGACTGATCATTCTGATTGAAAACGATTTGTGATCACAGACCCGGAGCAATGTGCATCATGTCATTGACGGTCTTTAAGAAAGAGAAATTAATGATTGACATAGTCACCTGGCACGATCTTGTAACGGATGTTGAAGCCCACGTTTGTCTGATTATTGTCACTGATGAAGGTCACGACAAACGTACCGTCAAAGTTGACTGTAACAGAAAGAGGTATAATATGTTATAAAATGTCAGACTGTAGAACGTGAGAAAGATAATCACACCTATATCAACCAAGACAATTACAACATAGTTATTTGTTATGGACCTTTAGGCAAGAGCTCTTCTGTGTACGTGACTAATACCAGATTCATTAATTACATTTGGCTGCGCATAAGAACACATTTTTCTTATTTGAATAAAGGGGATAAAAGCCCTTCACTTACAGCTGCGAGTCCCGTATTGGTATCCACACAGTCTCTCTTCGCCATTCATATCCACATAGTCATTACAGACAGATGTGCTGTTGTCAGGGTCCTCCAGGTGGAACTGATTGAGACTAAAGACAATTGTCTGACCCACATCGTCATCCCCCTTTATTGTGAAGATGCAGTGAGTGCCGTCGTTGTAGGAACGCCTGTACACTGACGCATAGCCATAACCAGAGTAGCTGTTGATGTAGCCCGCAGTGTCGGTCAGCGTTATATTACATGAAACTGAGAAAGTGACATTATTCATCTGGACGCAACTTATCAAATGTGTATACGTAAAATATATCGATATATAGAATGGGTAATTTATTGAAAATGACCATAAAACCACATAAAGAAACATTCTTAGGGCAATAAACCTAGTTAACAGTTGATCACTTACTATCATCGAGATAACCTACCGGGCCTTGTGTTGTAGTAGATGTGAAAGACTTCCCTCCTCCCTGTGACTGAATTAACAGAGTGATGATACCTCACAGGCAGCTCAGGCTCCTCGGATGAGACTGGAAACATATCAAGTTACGACATCTATCTCGATATGGAGAAGTAGGGCGTTATTACACATCATATATTAGTGTCAGTATCCTGATCAGTTTGATGTTCAGCACACCTTTTCAAGATAGATAACTTGCACTTTATCTGCTGGGTATTTGCGCTACGAATATGTCCCCAGCAGCCTACGTTGGTCATAGGACGCAGCCTCTTGGAAAATGGTTCGGGTTGTCACGTAAGGTGGCTGATATATACGCGTATCATCTTACACCAACGGTGTTGATCGTAGATACCAATACCGCTCACTGGATTGTCTGTTCCAGGTTCGATTATTTAAAGGCCGCTGTCACAAAGCTATATTATAACTTGAGTGTGGCATTAACGACAAACAAACCAAAAAACATATTCTTCAATTTCTAAATACTATAACAATGCGACACCCTATATTTTTAACTTTTAGTACAGTTCTTACAGTTATACTGGCCATAAACGGTTCCACAGTACTGTATGCCGTCGATCTCCACATAGCTGCCAGAACACGTGCCGTTGCTGCTCATAAAGTTGTAAGGCATATAGAAGGGACTGAAGTACATTGTCAAGATGAATGGGTAGTAGGGGGGACGAATGATGTATTCACAGTCCATTTCGTGTGCAAGAGGAACTCTTGATACAGTGTAGGAATCCAAATTCCCTGACGTTGAACGATATACTCGATCACATGTGTCTGAAAGAAAACGATGTCAGGATGTGATTTTAGGGATACCAAAGGTGATAATCAGTGTTTTTCTGTATTTCAATTCACTAATTTACAAAATCATATACTATTCTTAAGAACACTAAACGTGTGTGGGACAATCATTCATGCACTGTAAGTTTTGAGTTTCTTCTAACTGTTGAACGGTGACTGGACACATTGTGCTCTTCTGTTCTTTGAAAAAGACAGAGATAATAATTCACAATATATTCATCGAACTATCGACGCATTTTCTTCTCTTTTCACCACACAAGGAATCTATAATGCCACTTACAGTTAGTTACAAGGTAGTCGACATCCACTCCTCGTCCTGTGCTGTAACTATTGGACAAGAAGGTCATGTTGACCCTCCCTGTCATATGGACTGAAGGAAAAAAGCGCACATCCAGTAAATAATAGTAGTTTTATGAGTTCTAAATGGACACATTGAAACCTGTATTTTCCCTGAAGTAAAGTCGTACTACTTGTTTTTCGGCATTCCCAATTTTAGATTATACTGAGACAATATTTCATCTATGTAGCTCACTATTTATGTTTTAGGAATAGTATTTTGGATCGGAAAGGCTATACAAGTACAATAATGAATAGGCAAAGGAAATAAGACATTGGTACACAACGAACAAGGATGTGCAGGTAAATATAAACAATCATCAAGATTGCAATAACATAACATACTACACAGCAAATAGAAAATGTGTTACAGGGCACAACACACACACACATTGAAAACTGTATTTTCCCTGAAGTAAGGTCATACTAGCTGTATTTCGGATAACCGATTGTAGTTTGGCTCCTCGAGAAAAAAAACATACAAAAATATATTGTCCTGATCCACAGCAAATCCTCAAAAAGTGACCTGGGGTACAATGAACTAATGCTAAACATAGCAGAGTTATACCCCCACTTCTTTGTGCATATGTTACCTCTGTGTGGTCTTTTGACGTCATAGAGAAAAATTGATTTTCGTCCTTTATAGCAAGCTATTTTGTGTTGAATGTATAAAGTTATATAATAGCCAAAAAATACATTTGATATTTATTTATGTCATTCACAGCTATTAAATAACAAAAATTGTCGCACATTACTTATATTGGCGTAGACTAGAAAGTGGAGAAATTTACTGTTTAACAACGCTTTACATCATTTCGGAAAGCACTCAGCAGTCTTCTCTTTTTTCAAACAGGTTTCCAAGATTTGCAGTTAAATTCACACCATCAGATGGGAAAATAAATAATCCACATCCATGCGTAATTTTAAGGTGAGCGTAGATCTGATGCCGCGCGAGTCCATTTTTCGCACAACATTCACTTTCCAGATCATATGAAAATGTGCGCTACAAACATTACTCAGTATTCAGGGGCTTAACTTGACAGCAATGTATGAAAAATTAGAAATTCTTATTGGCGGGATTCAGTGTAAAGACCATCGTTGGGTTTCTTGAGATTTGCCAAGTAATTGACGTTGTCACTTCAGTCATATGCTCTAAATAGTAGACTGCGTGAAGAAATATAGAAATTAACATAGATTCACTACTCACATGTAGTCTGGGTCAATCTGTTTCCACAGAAACGCTGTCCGTTAACGATGAAATAATCACCACAGTTTACATCAAAGACCCTGACTGTGAAAGTAACAGTCTTGAGGGCATCTCCCAGGTCCAGGTAGTAAATACACAAGGTGTCTGTTGGGTAGGTCACCCCACCCTCAGTCACAGGGCTGCGGATTGTACCAGTATTCTGGTCGAGGTCCGTCACACAGGTGTCTGAAATGTCAACACATTTTGCTATGTCAGTTTGCTATAATATATAGGTTTGAGCACTTGAAATGAAGCTGTGGGGGTGACATACATTTATGAAATATTTCTGTCATGTAGAGTTGTATATGCATCTTCATTTGGGGGATCAGGTTACAAGTTAAAACGGACTGGAACTGCAATAGAGATTAGCATTTGTAACAAGCTGCACCTTTCAAGATGCACAGGGATAATTTATTGATAAAGATTAATTGTGCTTCATTTAGTGAGTATTTGTATACACAAAATCAGGGCATATAATCTTCTATTGCAAGACTTCTGCTTACTTTCAGTGTAGGAGAAAGATATGTTGAAACCATTCCTCTGAACGGAGGCATCACTGTGGAAAGTGATATTCACATCACTGTCATAGATGTTGTCTGAAGATAAGGAAGTAAAATGTATACACATATAAACCACCATTTTAAACACATGTAATTGTCTTTCTTCGGTCTCTGATCCATGGGACATTTGTCCATGAACGTGGAGACCATAGATGTAGTTAGTATCTCTATCTTCAAAGGTTCAGGACTATTTGTTAAAACTAAATCAAATGTTATCTGAAGTTTACTTGGAAAACACTTCGTAAAGTGATGGACTTCCTCACAGATAGCATCGATGTGACATTGGGAGCATGATATTGATGCAATAATTTAGGCATCCCCATGGGCACCAACTGTGCTTTCCTCCTTGCAGATCTAATTATTTACGCATACAAGTCAGAATCTCTGCACTAGTTGGAAAAACAGAACAAAGGAATTTAGTGAAAAAGTTAACATCAGGGTCAGGTATTTCGATGATCTGATATCATTCAATAATGGTCAAATAGCCAACTCCCTTCAACTGATTTATCCACCTTAGCATTAGATGAGAAATCCCGAGAGACTGCCTCATCTGATTAAGATATATGCCTACAGATTCAAAGTAACAATAACTATCCACAACACTGGATGAAAGAAAGGATGACTTCATCTTTCCAAAGGTCCACTTTCCATTTATGTCCAGCAATATGCCAGCAGCTCCAATGTTTCACATCTTTTGAGCAACAATCGAGCAAATCCATTTAAACATACATTAAAGATATCATGTGTACATGTAAAAACATTGTTTTATCAAGCAAATGGTGATGGCAAGCATTGATGGTACAAACATATGTAAGATTTTGGTGAAGTCCTTGTTCCGCACATCCTGGAGGAAGAATAGCCATCGTAGAGCATCTGTATGTAATCCTTGCTGCAGGAGGTGGAGAAACTGTTACTGTAATAAGAATAATATCTCTGCACGTCGAACTCCTCCAGAGTGATGTTAACAACCCACAGCCGACCTGCTGGAGGCCTGATGGTGAACAGACAGTCGAGGTTAGGTAAGTAGGTGGCGCTGCCATCATCAGGGACCTGAATCTGTCCATCAGCATCTGTCAGGACCTGGTAACAGCTGTCTGTTGAGGAAGCAAAAGAAGATTTGATCTGTATGTTATACCAACGTTAATCTGGACTAATGCAATGATATATATATATACACAGTTAAAAACACTTATAACAATAGCAAATATTTTTCCAGAAACATCATCTTTCTCGAGACTGAATATTACTTACTGATCGATCATATGGCAAACGAAAGAATGCAGTTTTACGCAATATTAGAAAGTTTGACATGGCATTAATATGGGTGACCATTCACGTCATCAGATTGTGATGACACATAGATGTAGGTCACAGCAATGAGACAAAACTTAACAGTATCTGCAATATAGTTACAATATATAAAACCGAAATACACATTTTAATATCATTCGACAAAACTTTCTGACATGTGAAATATATTAGCCACCATTTTTAAAAGAGAGACGTGATGAGAAACAAAGGTAAATCTTTTACTCCAGAACGATGGCTATCATATATGAAATTGAAATATGGCCCAAACAACTTTTTTATCTGGATCACCATGGTGATTCCTCTGTTGGTCGCAAGAGACGACATTATTGAGAGGGTGGTCAGGCTCTGTGACTAGGTTGATGGCATCTTGCCCCAGCGGCATGGTTTGTTCCTTGTGTCAGTGACTGATTTTTCTGTTCCAGAATAGCATATTTTATAAAAGGCTGGCCTCATAAAGATAGAATATTGGTGAGTGCGGCGTTAAACATCAAACGTACGGACCGGGAACGCACGCACGCATGATGAAAGAGTAAAAGGAATAATATCGACAACTTTAAACTGCACACGTGTATCTCCGTCAATGTAGATATTGACATCAAGACACAAAACTGTAAACAGGGTCCATGGTTAAGGGAACTCTCGCCAGTAACCTTATATATACACGTTGATTTGATCATGACGTCTTGTATGGCCTATGGTTGATGGCATTGTTAACAGGTGATCGAATATACAAGCATAGTGATGGATTCAATAAACATGTGACATGTGAACGTACTTTCGTCGTATGAATAGTTCAGCACAAACCCCCTTCTCTCAATGTTGCCGTTTGTCACAAATTTGATGACTACATCTCCATTCATACTGTTATCTGAAATATAAATACTTCACTATTACTTGAAATTCTCACAATTCTCGGTTATATTCCCATGGTTATATTGCCAATGTCCATCACTGGCCACATGTGTCTTTGAGCAAAAAACATTCGAAATATGGTATGTCTGGCCACAATCACGTGTTTTATTGATGATGATTGTTCCCGCATCTGTATAAAGAACAATCACGTGGGCTTTTACAAAATGGAATATTTCTTTCTTAATCCAGGATTCCTCATTAATGCTTATAAGGTAGATGGGGCAAAAAACAGACAAGTTAAACGTGGAAAATATAATTATTATATTAGGTGAGGTGATATGAAATGAGGTTTAACGTCGTTGCGTTCACGATTATTGCACTTATATAGCGACGTGCATATACGTCTTTGTGTGTTCTTGGCTGTTTGTACAAGTCGGGACTAATGTCGATTTTGTAATGCTAGCCCACTGAGATACCATGCCGTAGATTAACACGAATAAACCACTCAGACACAGTATACTGACTTCGTGCCGACCAGTCCTGTTTTAGCCCTTCAATGTCGAGCGACAGGCAGGGTAACAACAAGTGCTATCTTTTAACGTTTTTTGGTATGACGCCAAGGATCGAACTCCCGACCTTCCGCTTTCCGGGCGGACGTTCTACCACAAGATCACAGAGGCGGTGAAATAGTATATAATAAACTTAATAAAACCCACATGTAACGGACAGTACAACTTAGTTGTCAATCGTAGAAGAGAGATATGCATATTTGCAAATAGTGATGGCGCCCCTATCCTACTATAAAGATTATAATATATAGTTATTTCCTTCGTTAAATCAGGCGATAGGAATTGTACTAATTAATTTCACTGATTTGAACTCAAACGATTTTGGTAGCATGGTACCTGCAATGAAGCACAAATGTATGTATACACAGTTGACACACTCACGGGGATCATGACTTACAGAAGTACGTTCTTGGTGATCTCATCCTGCCACACAATCTGCTGTTGCCGGTGAGTCCCGAGAACTTGGTCTCCACGAAGTCGTAGCTACATGATGTACTCAGACTGTAAGATGAGGAGTTGTAGTACATCCTCTGAACGTCAAACTGAGAGTACGTCAGATTGAACCTGTAAGGACCCTGTGTTGGAGGTCTGATGATATAAGTGCAGTTCAGATTACGTCTGTAGAGACCTGTACTGTATACGGGACTCCTTATTGTGCCATTAGAGTCGGTAAATAGCTCATCGCAAATATCTGAAATACCAAAATGAGAATTATGATAATGACGAAAATCTTTTCTTTCAAGGGAGAATGTCGTCTTTCGAAGGAAATAAAGTGTTATATCAATATTGGAATATATCAAGATGATTGGTATGGGGAGTATATTAATCCATCGATCTTTTATATGCATGATATTTATCAGTCTCGTCAATTTACGATCTCATACCTTTATGAAAGGGAACCACTATTTCTGTCTTTTAAATGTATCATATCGTATAATTTATGCCATTACCTTCTTCAATCTTGTAGGACGCATTGAAACCTTGTCTGCTGATCTCGTTGTTTGTATGAAAGACAAAGTCGAATTGTCTCGCATTCGTGTACCCTTCAAGAAATAAAAGTGCATTTGTCTTACTTGAAGAGAAAGATGATAAAGATAATAAACAAATCATGAGTACCATTATATTTAGAAAATAACATGAACGTTACTCACAAGTAAACATGGTTCCTGCAGCGATGGCACCACAGTACCTCCCGGAAGTGTAGGACCCGTCTGAGAAGTATATGTAGTCGTTGTAACAGCTGCTCGAACTGTACGATGGGGATTCAAGGTCGAAAGCATTGACGGTGACCGTGACCTTAGTCTGGGTGTAGGATGTGAACATGGTGTATCGGCAGTCAAGGTTGTTGTGGTACAGACCACTGCTTGCCAAGGGGCTGATGAGAGTGCCTTCAGTGGTGTTGTACGTTACCAGGCATCCAGCTGAAAATTGATGCATGCTATGTGATCAACAACAGGATTATAGGATTTTGGTAAAGAAGGGCAAGGTGCCATTGTTTCTATGGACATAATGTCATGAAAAGGAACGTATCATCCAAGTAAACAGCAGTAGGTTAATGTTTTTTGTAATTTATAAAGAATATGGGTTTTGTCTGTGACTGATCATTCTGATTGAAAACGATTTGTGATCACAGACACGGAGTAATGTGCATCATGTCATTGACAGTCTTTAAGAAAGAGAAATTAATGATTGACATAGTCACCTGGCACGATGTCGTAACGGATGTTGAAGCCCACGTTTGTCTGATTATTGTCACTGATGAAGGTCACGACAAATGTACCGTCAAAGTTGACTGTAACAGAAAGAGGTATAATATGTTTTAAAATGTCAGACTGTAGAACGTGAGAAAGATAATCACGAATCACACCTATATCAACCAGGACAATTACAACATTGTTATTTGTTATGGACCTTGAGGCAAGAGCTCTCCTGTATACGTGACTAATACCAGATTCATTAATTACATTTGGCTGCGCATAAGAACACATTTCTCTTATTTGAATAAAGGGGATAAAAGCCCTTCACTTACAGCTGCGAGTCCCGTATTGGTATCCACACAGTCTCTCTTCGCCATTCATATCAACATAGTCATTACAGACAGATGTGCTGTTGTCAGGGTCCTCCAGGTGGAACTGATTGAGACTAAAGACAATTGTCTGACCCACTACGTCGTCCACATTTATTGTGAAGATGCAGTGAGTGCCACCGTTGTAGGAACGCCTGTACACTGATTCATAGCTATAACCAGAGTAGCTGTTGATGTAGCCCGCAGTGTCGGTCAGCGTTATATTACATGAAACTGAGAAATTGACATTATTCATCTGGACGCAACTTATCAAATGTGTATACGTAAAATATATCAATATATAGAATGGGTAATTTATTGAAAATGACCATAAAACCACATAAAGAAACATTCTTAGGGCAATAAACCTAGATCACCTTTGATCACTTATTATCATCGAGATAACCTACCGGGCCTTGTGTTGTAGTAGATGTGAAAGACTTCCCTCCTCCCTGTGACTGAATTAACAGAGTGATGGTACCTCACAGGCAGCTCAGGCTCCTCGGATGAGACTGGAAACATATCAAGAAGTAGGGCGTTATTACACATCATATATTAGTGTCAGTATCTGATCAGTTTGATGTTCAGCACATTTTTTCAAGATAGATAACTTGCACTTTATCTGCTTGGTTTTCGCGCTATGAAAAGGTCCTACGCTGGTCGTAGGAGGCGGCCTCTTGGAGAATGGTTTGGGTTGTCACGTAAGGTGGCTGATATGAATATGTATCATCTTACATAAACGGTGTTGATCGTTGATACCAATACCGCTCACTGGATTGTCTGTTCCAGGTTCGATTATTTAAAGGCCGCTGTCACAAAGCTATATTATAACTTGAGTGTGGCATTAACGACAAACAAACCAAAAAACATATTCTTCAATTTCTAAATACTATAACAATGCGACACCCTATATTTTTAACTTTTAGTACAGTTCTTACAGTTATACTGGCCATAAACGGTTCCACAGTACTGTATGCCGTCGATCTCCACATAGCTGCCAGAACACGTGCCGTTGCTGCTCATAAAGTTGTAAGGCATATAGAAGGGACTGAAGTACATTGTCAAGATGAATGGGTAGTAGGGGGGACGAATGATGTATTCACAGTCCATTTCGTGTGCAAGAGGAACTCTTGATACAGTGTAGGAATCCAAATTCCCTGACGTTGAACGATATACTCGATCACATGTGTCTGAAAGAAAACGATGTCATGATATGATTTTAGGGATACCAAAGGTGATAATCAGTGTTTTCCTGTATTTCAATTCACTAATTTACAAAATCATATACTATTCTAAAGAACACTAAACGTGTGTGGGACAATCATTCATGCACTGTAAGTTTTGAGTTTCTTCTAACTGTTGAACGGTGACTGGACACATTGTGCTCTTCTGTTCTTTGAAAAAGACAGAGAAAATAATTCACAATATATTCATCGAACTATCGACGCATTTTCTTTTCTTTTCACCACACAAGGAATCTATAATGCCACTTACAGTTAGTTACAAGGTAGTCGACATCCACTCCTCGTCCTGTGCTGTAACTATTGGACAAGAAGGTCATGTTGACCCTCCCTGTCATATGGACTGAAGGAAAAAAGCGCACATCCAGTAAATAATAGTAGTTTTATGAGTTCTAAATGGACACATTGAAAACTGTATTTTCCCTGAAGTAAAGTAGTACTACTTGTTTTTCGGCATTCCCAATTTTAGATTATACTGAGACAATATATCATCTATGTAGCTCACTATTTATGTTTTAGGAATAGTATTTTGGATCGGAAAGGCTATAAAAGTACAATAATGAATAGGCAAAGGAAATAAGACATTGGTACACAACGAACAAGGATGTGCAGGTAAATATAAACAATCATCAAGATTGTAATAACATAACATACTACACAGCAAATAGAAAATGTGTTACAGGGCACAACACACACACACATTGAAAACTGTATTTTCCCTGAAGTAAGGTCATACTAGCTGTATTTCGGATAACCGATTGTAGTTTGGCTCCTTGAGAAGAAAAAAAACATACAAAAATATATTGTCCTGATCCATAGCAAATCCTCAAAAAGTGACCTGGGGTACAATGAACTAATGCTAAACATAGCAGAGTTATACCCCCACTTCTTTGTGCATATGTTACCTCTGTGTCGTCTTTTGACGTCATAGAGAAAAATTGATTTTCGTCCTTTATGGCAAGCTATTTTTTGTTGAATGTATAAAGTTATATAATAGCCAAAAAATACATTTGATATTTATTTATGTCATTCAGAGCTATTAAATAACAAAAAATACTTTAACATTACTTTTATTGGCGTAGACTAGAAAGTGGAGAAATTTACTGTTTAACAACGCTTTACATCATCTCGGAAAGCACTCAGCAGTCTTCTCTTTTTTCAAACAGGTTTCCAAGATTTGCAGTTAAATTCACACCATTAGATGGGAAAATAAATAATCCACATCCATGCGTAATTTTAAGGTGAGCGGTAGATCTGATGCCGCGCGAGTCCATTTTTCGCACAACATTCACTTTCCAGATCATATGAAAATGTGCGCTACAAACATTACTCAGTATTCAGGGGCTTAACTTGACGGCAATGTATGAAAAATTAGAAATTCTTATTGGCGGGATTCAGTGTAAAGACCATCGTTGGGTTTCTTGAGATTTGCCAAGTAATTGACGTTGTCACTTCAGTCATATGCTCTAAATAGTAGACTGCGTGAAGAAATATAGAAATTAACATAGATTCACTACTCACATGTAGTCTGGGTCAATCTGTTTCCACAGAAACGCTGTCCGTTAACGATGAAATAATCACCACAGTTTACATCAAAGACCCTGACTGTGAAAGTAACAGTCTTGAGGGCATCTCCCAGGTCCAGGTAGTAAATACACAAGGTGTCTGTTGGGTAGGTCACCCCACCCTCAGTCACAGGGCTGCGGATTGTACCAGTATTCTGGTCGAGGTCCGTCACACAGGTGTCTGAAATGTCAACACATTTTGCTATGTCAGTTTGCTATAATATATAGGTTTGAGCACTTGAAATGAAGCTGCTGGGGTGACACACATTTATTAAATATTTCTGTCATGTAAAGTTGTATATGCATCTTCATTTGGGGGATCAGGTTACAAGTTAAAACGGTCTGGAACTGCAATAGAGATTAGCATTTGTAACAAGCTGCACTTTTCAAGATGCACAGGGATAATTTCTTGATAAAGATTAATTGTACTTCATTTAGTGAGTATTTGTATACACAAAATCAGGGCATATAACCTTCTATTGCAAGACGTCTGCTTACTTTCAGTGTAGGAGAAAGATATGTTGAAACCATTCCTCTGAACGGAGGCATCACTGTGGAAAGTGATATTCACATCACTGTCATAGATGTTGTCTGAAGATAAAGAAGTAAAATGTATACACATATAAGCCACCATTTTAAACACATGTAATTGTCTTTCTTCGGTCTCTGATCCATGGGACATTTGTCCATGAACGTGGAGACCATAGATGTATTAAGTATCTCTATCTTCAAAGGTTTAGGAATATTTGTTAAAACTAAATCAAATGTTATCTGAAGTTTACTTGGAAAACACTTCGTAAAGTGATGGACTTCCTCACAGATAGCATCGATGTGACATTGGGAGCATGATATGTATGCAATAATTTAGGCATCCCCATGGGCACCAACTGTGCTTTCCTCCTTGCAGATCTAGTTATTTACGCATACAAGTCAGAATCTCTGTACTAGTTGAAAAAATAGAACAAAGGAATTTAGTGAAAAAGTTTACATCAGGGTCAGGTATTTCGATGATCTGATATCATTCAATAATGGTCAAATAGCCAACTCCCTTCAACTGATTTATCCACCTTAGCATGAGATGAGAAATCCCGAGAGACTGCCTCATCTGATTAAGATATATGCCTACAGATTCAAAGTAACAATAACTATCCACAACACTGGATGAAAGAAAGGATGACTTCATCTTTCTAAAGGTCAACTTTCCATTTATGTCCAGCAATATGCCAGCAGCTCCAATGTTTCACATCTTTTGAGCAACAATCGAGCAAATCCATTTAAACATACATTAAAGATATCATGTGTACATGTACAAACATTGTTTTATCAAGCAAATGGTGATGGCAAGCATGGATGGTACAAACATATGTAAGATTTGGGTGAAGTCCTTGTTCCGCACATCCTGGAGGAAGAATAGCCATCGTAGAGCATCTGTATGTAATCCTTGCTGCAGGAGGTGGAGAAACTGTTACTGTAATAAGAATAATATCTCTGCACGTCGAACTCCTCCAGAGTGATGTTAACAACCCACAGCCGACCTGCTGGAGGTCTGATGGTGAACAGACAGTCGAGGTTAGGTAAGTAGGTGGCGCTGCCATCATCAGGGACCTGAATCTGTCCATCAGCATCTGTCAGGACCTGGTAACAGCTGTCTGTTGAGGAAGCAAAAGAAGATTTGATCTGTATGTTATACCAACGTTAATCTGGACTAATGCAATGATATATATATACAGTTAAAAACACTTAAAACAATAGCAAATATTTTTCCAGAAACATCATCTTTCTCGAGACTGAATATTACTTACTGATCGATCATATGGCAAACGAAAGAATGCAGTTTTACGCAATATTAGAAAGTTTGACATGACATTAATATGGGTGACCATTCACGTCATCAGATTGTGATGACACATTGATGTAGGTCACAGCAATGAGACAAAACTTAACAGTATCTGCAATATGGTTACAATATGTAAAACCGAAATACACATTTTAATATCATTCGAGGGAAGAGAAAAAACTTTCTGACATGTGAAATATATTAGCAACCATTTCTAAAAGAGAGAAGTGATAAAACGAAGGTTAATCTTTAACTCCAAAACAACGGTAATCAAATATGAAATTGAAATATGGCAAAACAACTTTTTTGTTTGGATCCCCGTGGGGATTCCATGTTTGAACTGGCCCCTAGCAACCTCTGCTGGTCGCAAGAGACGACATAATGGAGAGGGTGGTCAGGCTCTGTGACTAGGTTGATGGCATCTTGCTTGCATATGTCTGAGTGCGGCGTTACACATCAACAGTACGGATGCAGGGATGCACGGACGCACGCACGCAAACACATATTGATATTGATGAAGGTATTGATGAAATAGTAAGAGGAATAACATCGACAACTTGATACTGCACATATGTATCTCTGTCAATGTAGAGATTGACATCGAGGCACAAAACTGTAAACAGGGTCCATGGTTAAGGTAACTCTTGGTTGATGGCATCTTGCCTCAACGGCGTGGATTGTTGATCATATCAGTTTTTCTGTTCCAGGCTGCCGTCATGAAGAAAGTATATGTCTGAGTGCTGCGTTACACATCAACAGTACGGACGCAGGGATGCACGGACGCACGCAAGCACACACATATAAGGTATCGATGAAATAGTCAGAGGAATAACATCGACAACTTGATACTGCACATATGTATCTCTGTCAATGTAGAGATTGACATCGAGGCACAAAACTGTAAACAGGGTCCATGGTTAAGGTAACTCTTGTCCAGTAATCTTACATATACACGTTTATTTGATCATGACGCCCTGTATGACCTATGGTTGATCGCATTGTTAACAGGTGATCGAATATACAAGCATTGTGATGGATAGTATTTGCTAAAAGATTCAATACACATGTGAACGTACTTTCGTCATATGAATAGTTCAGCACAAACCCCCTTCTCTCAATGTTGCTGTTTGTCACAAAATTGATGACTATTCCTCCATTCATACTGTTGTCTGAAATATAAATACTTCACTATTACTGGAAATTCTCACAACTCTAGGTTATATTCCCATGGTTATATTGACAATGTCCGTCACCGGCCAAAGGCCAGTAACATCGATCAATGTCTGTCATGTTACAGAAAACAAAAACAATCGAAATATAGTATAAGACATAATGCGATAGGAATTGTATTAATTTATTTCTCTGATTTGAACGATTTTGGTAGCATGGTACCTGTAATGTAGCACAAATGTATGTATACACAGATGACACACTCACGGGGGTCATGACTTACAGAAGTACGTTCTTGGTGAGCTCATTCTGCCACACAATCTGCTGGTGCCGGTGAGTCCTGAGAACCTGGTCTCCACGTAGTCGTAGCTACATGATGTACTCAGACTGTAAGATGAGGAGTTGTAGTACGTCCTCTGAAGATCAAACTGAGAGTACGTCAGATTGAACCTGTAAGGACCCTGTGTTGGAGGTCTGATGATATAGGTGCAGTTCAGATTACGTCTGTAGAGACCTGTACTGTATACGGGACTCCTTATTGTGCCATTAGAGTCGGTAAATAGCTCATCGCAAATATCTGAAATAACAAAAAAGAATTCTTATTATAACGAAAATCAATTCTTAACAGGGGAGGTCTGTCTTTCGCGGGAAAGAAAGTAGATTATCTCGATACTGAAGTATATCAAATGGATCGGTTTGTGGAGTAATCCATTGATCTCTATATTTTTAGTGTTCGTCAATCTCATTACGTCACAAGTTCAAGAGTTACATGGTAACATGGAACCACTTTTTCTGTCGTTTAAGAATATCACACTACGTATACCATTACCTTCCTCAATCTTGTAGGACGCATTGAAACCTTGTCTGCTGATCTCGTTGTTTGTATGAAAGACAAAGTCGAATTGTCTCGCATTCGTGAACCCTTCAAGAAATAAAAGTGTACCCGTTTTACTTCATGTACAGTCAAAGAGTCCATTTATGATAACAAATCACGGTGATCAAATTGACAAACATAATATAAAACGTTACTCACAAGTAAACGTGGTTCCTGCAGCGATGACACCACAGTATCTCCCGGAAGTGTAGGACCCGTCTGAATAGGTTACATAGTCGTTGTAACAGTAGCTCGAACTGTACGATGGGGATTCGAGGTCGAAAGCATTGATGGTGACCATGACCTTGGTCCGTGTATATGATGTTAAAATGATGTATCGGCAGTCAAGGTTGTTGTGGTACAGACCACTGCTTGTCACGGGGCTGATGAGAGTGCCTTCAGTGGTGTTGTGCGTGACCAGGCATCCAGCTGAAAATTGATGCATGCTATGTGATCAACAATAGGATTACATTTACTTATTGTTTTGGTAAAGAAGGGCAAGGTGACACTGTTTCTGGGAACATAATGTTATGAATAAAAGTTATCATCAACATGAACAGCAGCTTTATGTTAATGTAATATATACAGATAATGAGGAGTGAGTGAGCTTGGTTTTAGGTCGCTTTTAGCAATATTCTAACTCTATCACGACAGTGGATGTCAGAAATGAGCTTCTCGCGATGCACCCATGTGGGGAATCGATCCCAGGCCTTCGACCTGACGAGGGGAAGCTTGAACCACTAGGCTACCCCAATGCTTTCAGAATATGAGTAATGTCTGTGAGTGATCATTCTGATTGAATCGATCTGTAATCACGGATGATGTTATACATCTTAAAAGTTACAAGAAGACACGATGCAATGTGCATCATGTCAGTGACAGTCTTTCAAAGTGGAAAAGACAAGTGTTTTCTATACACCATTAATGAAATAGTCACCTGGCACGATGTTGTAATGGATGTTGAAGCCCATGTTTGTCTGACTATTGTCACTGGTGAAGGTTACGACAAAAGTACCATCAAAGTTGACTGTAACAAAAGGAGATAAAATATGTTTTTAAATGACACAACTTGAGAAGGATTATTACACCCTCTCATATTTTAACCAGGCCAATTACAACATGGGTATTTGGTATAAATTATTGGGCAAGTGTCACCAATATGCAAAAGATAATAGTTGTGTTTCTGTCAGAAGATCCCTCACAACTACGGATTTCTTAGACAAAATCTGCCCTTCTGACTATTAGCTACACTTTGTTAAACATAAGAACAAATGTGTTTTAATTGATTGAAAATGATAAAAACCCTGCCCTTACAACTTCGAGTCCCGTATTGGTATCCACACAGTCTCTCTTCGCCATTCATATCCACATAGTCATTACAGACAGATGTGATGTTGTCAGGGTCCTCCAGGTGGAACTGATTGAGACTAAAGACAATTGTCTGACCCACAACGTCGTCCACATTTATTGTGAAGATGCAGTGAGTGCCGTCGTTGTAGGAATGCCTGTACACTGACGCATAGCCATGACCAGAGTAGCTGTTGATGTAGCCCGCAGTGTCGGTCAGCGTTATATTACATGAAACTGAGAAAGTGACATTATTCATTTGGACGGAACTTATAAACAGGCAGGTTAAGTTTGTATTTTCTGAATATTCTCACGATTTTCGCTCCTATTATCGGTACCTTCTTCCAAAACAGATTGCAATATCTCGCCCACTTTTGGCCACTTTTGCCCAGCTACATCATGGGGAACAACTCACTACCCACTAAAAATACCGTTATCCAATTACGACATCATCAATATGCGAGAGGTATGTTCGAATGTCCAGAAATGACGTCATGATGGCACAATGTTTATTGTGACGTAAACCAGGCCTCATTCTTTATTGTTCTTTGCGATTTATCTCGTAGCATCTTATATTAGTATTTGAAGAAGCATTTCAAGGGCAATAAATCTAGTTAATCTTTAATCACGTATTTGTCATCTGAGATACCTACCGGGCCTTGTGTTGTAGTAGATGTGAAAGACTTCCCTCCTCCCTCCGACTGGAGTAACAGAGTGATGATACCGCACAGGCAGCTCAGGTTCCTCTGATGAGACTGGACACATATCAAGTTACGATTTCTGTTTTTTTGGTGAAGTAGGGCCTTATGACAAATTACAAATTCCTATATAAGTGTCAGTCACTTTGGATTTTCAGTACAGCGTTTCAAGGCTGATAAGGTGTGATCCATGTGCTTTACATGTTCGACGTCCCGTGGAGATTTCGGGTTATAACAGGTCCATAGCAACATATGCTGGTGTATGCTGGTTGTAAGAGGCTAGCTAATGGATAGTGTGGCCAAGCTCAGTGATTTGATTGCGTTTCATCGCACATGACGACGTGAGTCGTTGCTCATAATATCAATCACAGGATTGTCTCATCCAGATTCGAGTATTTACAGCTCGCCGTCATGGAATAAATTAAACGTCAAACACCAAACAAACAAACCATTTTCTTCAATTTCGTTTAACTTATCTGCTCTAAATGCATACACCTATAACAATGCGACACCCTATATTTAAACAAATATATTACAATACAGTAGTAGTAGTAGTAGTAGTAGTAGTAGTAGTAGTAGTATAGTATAGTTCTTACAGTTATACTGGCCATAAACAGTTCCGCAATACTGTGTGCCGTTGATCTCCACATAGCTGCCAGAACACGTGCCGTTGTTGTCCGTGAAGTTGTACGGCATAAAGAATGGACTGAAGTACATTGTCATGAGGAAGGGGTAGTACGGGGGACGAACGATGTATTCACAGTCCATGTCTTGTGCGAGTGCAACTCTTGACACAGAGTAAGAATCCAAAATCCCTGACGTTGTACGATATACTCGATCACATGTGTCTGCAACACAACGATGTTGTCATAATTTGCTACACAGGGTGCCAAGGTTATAATGAGTGTTGTCCAGTATAACACGGACTTATATCAAAATCAACAATTAATTCACAACACACTGAACGAGTGTGACTTTCATCCAGAAACTGTACACCCTGAATTGCTGAAACCTGTTGTATGATGACTGGAATAAGAAAGTTGGGTTGAGTAAGGATTGTTCTTCATATATAAAACTTGCAAACTAAATACATCTGAACTTTGGCCATGGTGCTCTTCTGTTCTTTGGAATCAGTCGTACGGGCCGCAACTGTCGTTCGGATTACCCCGTGTTTACGTTTTCGAGGTTGCCTGATTCGAAAACACATTTCATGATCTGGTAAGCGACGCTTTGATTGGTCGGATGAAAAGTCGTAATGGTCTAATCTGATTTTAATGAGATTGAAACCTTTTGAACAGTTTTATGAATTTTAGTCAATCTGACTGGAAAATATTAATTTTGTAAATTGCCTGAAATATCTTGGAGTTTTGTAAATTGCCTTAAAAACAATTTCAGTCAATTTCGAATAATGATGACAATCTTTTCTTCACAGAGATAATGCTGCTGGCGGAGGAAAAGACGTTACCTCGATATTGTAATATGTCAAATGGATTCACAATTTGCTCATTTGTTTCGTTTGTGTGTTGTTAAACGCCGCACTGAGCAATATTTCAGCCATACCTGACGGCGGTCTACATGATCGAGTGTTTGACATCATGGGCATCGTTCTACGCTAATGGGATACGATGACATGCATCAACCAAGTCATCTAACCTGACCACTCAATTCTGTAAGTCGCCACTTACGACAAGCATGAATAATGTCATTGCTGAAGACCAAGTCCCGCCTAGGTTTTTACGGGTTAATTAAGGTGATATACGCCGTGAGTGAACTAACTGCACTCGGGTTGTATTCAGACATTGCTTTGGTTAGGTTAGCGTACACGTCTAAAATGAACTTGTCTTTGCATAGTGTGTGTTACTTACAGGTTGAGTTGGTGGACGTGTCCCTGTCGTATCCAAGAGTGTTTGTAGTCCCGGCCCTTGTTCCTGCCAGCCCTTGTAAATTGGGCATCCAATATGAATATGTTATCTACAGAAGGCATCGATATGGTCTAAAGAGGTAAAAGGACTGCGTCAATGAAACCAGTTGACTTCTAATATTCTCAGTGTTAACTGATTACCTTAGGGTTTTAGGTCTATATTTTATATCTAAGGCCGCACTCAGCAATATTCCCGCTATATGACGGCCGTCTGTAAAGAATCGAGTCTGGACCGGACAATCTGGTGATTGACAGTATGGACATCGATCCACAAACCAAGGCAACGAGCCTGACCAGCCGATCCATCTACGAACTATGCTGCTTGCACCAACGGTGTCAAACAAATTTCACTCACCTCACCCACGGAGGTAAAAGACTAATGCATTGTGTATTTTCTTTGCAGTGGCTTCCAGCAGACCAAGAACAAGAACAAGAGTCGGTATTCGAAACAGTAACACACCAGTTGTATGTTGTACATGTTCAGTGGTATTTCATCTGTCTGGTGACATATATCACAAGGAAAGCATGTGACAATTATCCCATATTCTAGGCAAGTATCTTATATTTATCATAATGGGTGGGTTTCTCGGATAAAAACGATATCCGTTGCGGTCATATTCAGATAGAGATGCAAATATCAAAGGTCAATTACGGAATATTTTCACTGTTTATAAACAAACATGGCATCGCCCTATCATTCGGCGATCGAGTCAGAATTAACCATCGAGAATCTGGAAAAACTACTGTGACAATTGCTTTCATTATCAAAAGAATAGTCTAATAGAGTGAAAACCAATGTCTTAATGGTGACGTAGCTAATTCATTTCGGAAGTTTGGGCAACTTTGGATTTATAAATTGCGAAACAATTTTGCGCGGGCATAAGTAGCCATATCTTTGCTTGTAGACCTCTGCGGCTTGGAACCTTTTCCACAAATTAAAAGAGTTGGATTTGGCCGAAATATGTTCGAATTGTTACCTTGTTTCGTTTTGTCGCTGTGTGTACGTACATTTGACTGCACTTCGTAATGTTATGACAGGACAGGCCGACTGTCAACAAGGTCTGGCTGTGGCCGTGACGTTTCATAGACTAGGGTTAGAGTAGCTTCCCTGGCAGTTACTCTATCGGACAGACCGATGGATGGCAGCGAAAGGCAAGTTAAAACAATTTGCGTTGGCAATTGTTGTTTTGCATGTAGTTACACCACTGCATAAGAAACAGGTTTCAGTTGGAACTATATTGGCTACTGTCACTGTCCGACTGACACATCTCTTATTATATTAATGCGCACATTCCAGGAAAACTTGAATGTTGAGGTAATGTTTGTGACAGATGGAGAGAGACTTTCGAGCACAGAATTGAAGAATGACTTTATATGATACTGAGCTTATCACGCTTGTGTGTTCGGGGAGAGTAAGTATCCTGTATTAGGAATAAATGTTATGTATTAAGCTCGCCTTGGCTCGATGAAAACAATGTTCAATTCATAATATTTATTCAGGATACTAGTATGTACCCTCCCCAAAACACACAAGCGGGATAACCTCTCATGACACGATAGTATCAATTTAATATTGGACAGTCGTAATAGGCTTACAGGTGGTGTAGGAGGGGCTTGTGATGGCTGGTGCCGTGTCTGAAACGTGCAAGGAAGTATTTGAAATAGAAAAATTAAACATAACGAGTAAAGGAAATATTCATATTGTAGTGTTACATTGTCAGCGGGAGTTTGCCTCTAAAGTTTGAAATAAAACTGCTGTTACGGATTGTATGACTGATTCAAAATACTTTTTAAAGCAAAGTCTGGAATGGAAGTCGCCAATTTGAAACTAGTGCCGCAATGCTTAAGAAAGCTGCTTTCTTAGTGGCTAATGTCGACGTCCTGTTAGTAATTTCATTGGTCGGTCAAAGTTCGCGAAAGGTCTTTCTGACGTGACCTGTAATGGGATGTCCTTAGCGGTAGCGAGAACTTGTATCCGATTTAGATGACATTGAGGTAATCGGGGCATGTGATTTATCATGTTTTGTTTATTTAAAGCAGTGATTGTTTATTGTTAAGCAAGTTTATCTCTGCAGCCGTTGATATATGCAGCTACGGAGTAGTGGATCACTGCCTCGGACTAACGAGACTGATGAATGTGTGATTTCAGCAATTCGTTGTAAATCAGGTGTGTCGGAGTCGGAGTGCGAGACTGTCGGATTAACGGGTCTAAATAAAACTGATTTAATCGGTTCCCATCATTAATTTGTGTCGGATAAAGCCGATTGTCGGATTAACGAGACTTGACTGCACTGATACATAACGTTGTACCTGTTTAAGATGTGGTGCGAAGAAATTATTTTCTGAGCGAAACAGTGCTTCAGAAATAACTTTACGTGTTATAAAATCCAATGTTAAATATTTACGTGATACGTTTACAAACAAATATATAAATCATTAATCAGAAGTTCTCTATATACCATGACTTTTAGAATTTGGAGAGAAAGATTTATACTCACTTGACGACTGCGCCTGGCGTTTCTTGCGGAGTGAAGACATCCTCTGCAACATCATGAAAAACAAATAAATGTCAAGAAAACAATTTACTTGTGCACTGTATTTCAACTGCAATTTTTTAAAAGTGATAAATGTCTTCAAGCAGTCAAGTAATAGTGGCTTGTGAATAGAAGTTTGAATGTAGTGAGGAAGTTTAACTGCTGCACATTTAAGCCTCAATATTTTTATGTATGCAGGTATGTAATTACGAAAGAAGCCTGTCATAAAAAAACCATCTTGTACTTTACAGTGGGATTACGTTATAAATGACACAAATATACTCTACTGATGTACCTACCAGCCAGTTAAGGTGGCTGTGGGGTTCCGCGTCACACACAAGCACTAGACACAGCCCGGCCAGCACTGTGGCCACGCCCAAGTAGGGGGAAAAGGGCATCTTGATGCACGCGTATGTGCACTTGATTGACAGTCGGCACTGAAATTAATATATATACTCAGCAACAAAAGTTCAAACAATCGAGTGGATACAAACAACCTTTCTGGTGTTCAAATCGGATACGAAAATATGAATACATGTAACACAAACGCAACCTCAGCAGAAAAACACGATCTGATGACAAAAAGTGTCTTTCATGCAGTAATCATGCTATTGATTATGTAAACCAGGGTATAAAAGCACGCGTGTTGTAGGGATTCGGTATGCACTGTTTCTGCTTGTCTTGACAACTGCAACACGGAAAAACATCAAATTTGTCAAACATTATTTGAAGTATGGAGGTGTCTAGCTCACCGTATAAGGCGTTACGTGGAGACCAGCCAGGCCCGGCAGCCTCCGTGGTCTAGTGGTAGAGCGTCCGGCCGGAGAGCGGAAGGTTCGGAGTCGATACTACCATAGTGTTGGTATACCTTTCGTCGTTTAGCTCTCTGGGATGGGTCGTAGCGAGGATATTCGTGAACGATCGTGCATTCAAACTCTGACGTTTCTCATTGCATACTAAAACGCTGAGTTCAAGAATAAATGGTCTGAATGATCAGTTATCTTGCACGAGATGTGCCGTCCGACCTTAAAGACTTTAAGAAAATCCTACCAGCAGAAAATACATCTGTTAAACAATCTCTCAGTAGCCCGTATGTGATCGTCCTATGCTCCCAATTTGTATCTGGATAATTGACAAGGAAGATTGTAGAGTTCCTGTAGAGTATCTGGGAGGACAGAGCGTTGTGAGAGGGCGATCTCCAGCTCTTTCACATGCTTTCGACAGGGTTGAGGTCTGTTGACCGGGCTGGCCACTCCATGCGGACAATGGTCTCCTGCTCACAAGCAGGCATCAACGACACTGGCACAATGAAGTGCGTTATCGTCCATGAGGATGAAGTCCGGTCCAGAAGCCTGCGGTCCAAGGTACACATCCAGACTGTCATCCCTGTGGCGCACACCTGTCATCGTGTCCCGCTGTTGGAGATCGGCTCTTCCACCTCTATTGACTGCATACCCTTCGCGACCGGAGTCCATCCACACGGAGACGATTGCTGACCGACTGAGTAGAAACGTTAACGCCACTGGCGTTCCGCTGGTCATTTCTACGTATGATAACAGTCATGAAGTGATAGCGTCTTGCTGCAATCAGGAGAAACTTGTCTATCCCGCTGTGTGGTGGGACGCTGTCGACCATCTTCATGTCGCCGGAAACGTCTGGTATCGATTGTTTGGCCTGTTGATCATACTTTGACTGACACCAAAGACGTTTGGAACGTGACTTCCAGTTTCAAGCATGCCTATGCACCTGCCGAATTCTTCGGTCATATGACGTCTTGGACGCTGAGAGGACAAAAGTGCTTTCAGTTGTTGCCATCTTCAGATGCAAATGTTGTTGTTAATCTCCGATAATAAGGTTCAACGATTCTGTCACAGTACATCCAAAGGATATGCCTTCAGGAACCCATGCTTGCCGTAAAGGCGACTATGCTTGTCGTAAGAGGCTACCAACGGGATCGGATGTTCAGGCTCGCTGACTTGGATGATGCATGTCATCTTATCCCACGTGCGTGGATCGATGCTCATGATGTCAGTCCCTGGATTGTATGGTCGAGACTTCATTATTTACGGACCACCGCCATGTAGCTGGAATATTGTTGAGTGCGGCATTAAACAACAAACAAATAAACAAAACAAAACATAGTGCCCATGACTGCATGCATGACCGTTCATCGTGGAACTGTGGTCCTACGGCGGTTACACATCATTTCGAACCGGGGTAATTTAATCTATATTTGTTGGATGATTTTTTGTATCATCAAAACTTGATTCTGAGCCAACTTTTGTTTGTGAGTGTGTGGGTGAGGGAGGGAGTGAGTGAGTATCGTTTTACGCCGCTTTTAGCAATATTCCACCAATATCACTTTGGAGGGCACCAGAAATGGGCTTCACACATGTTGCCAATGCGGGGAATCGAACCCGGGTCTTTGGCGTGACGAGCTAACGCTTTAACCACTAGGTTACCCCCATAAGCCAACATTTTAGTAGTTTATAGACAATGTATATTCAACGATCTCTTCAGACCAGAGGACGAGGAGGAGGATGTCGCGGTCAATAATATAACGGTCTCTCAACTTAAGTATGACTTAGGTCATACCTTACTCATTGGTCATTATTTTGAGTATGAACAGGGTCATGTAAAATTTATTGGGGTGGACATAAGTAGTAGTGTACAGCGGTTCAGTACCGCTCAGGATTTCAGTACCACTCAGGAATTCAGTACCACTCAGGATTTCAGTACAAAGATGGCGGCACGTGACGTCACTTCCGGTCACGTGACCGGCGCAGTGCATGATGGGTCCCGCGTGCGCATCCATTTCCGGGGAGGAGGGGAAAACCCGGAGAAGCGCACGTAAAAGGTGAACAAGATCGACATTGAAAGAAGCGCGTCAAAAATCTTTTGTTGTTGTTGTTGTTGTTGTTGTTGTTGTTGTTGTTCTAAACATGGACGTGAAGGTGGTTGTGGTGGTGAAGGGAGGGTGGTGGTGAAGGGAGGGAGGGAGGGAGGGAGGAGGAGGGGGTGGGTTCTTTGTTTGGGTTTGAGGGTCGTCAAAGCAAAGGATGAAAGCGTTCTTTCGGGAGAGATGGGTGGCCCTGGAAAGGGCCGTTGGAAAACAAACTGGAAACAAGCTGGACAAGGGTTGTCTCCTTGATTACATTACTTTCCTTGATCTCAATACTAGATAATAATACGGACCACCCAAACAGCCGGGTATGTCAATTCCGCGTTGAATAGTTTGTTGTAATGCTGCCATAGCCTCAGACTTGTTCTTAAACCAGTGTGGGCTCTGCGATAGCCTCGTCTCTGATTCACCCCGTGGGTAGCCCACTATTGTCCACGAATAGACTTTCATCCTCCGCTGGCATTGTTGACTGTTGGTCTGACACGTCAGACAGCTGCATCGAGATGACATGGTTGATCTCTCCTTCATTGCTCGACTGTGACGGTGTGCGTGGCTGCGCCCTTTTATAGGAGAGGCACTGACACCCTGCTTCCTGATTGGTCGAAAACGCATCGAGCTGATGGGTTCGTTCCGACACTTGGTCTGAGCCCCGGTTTTCTAAATCGGACCGACCGTTGTGTTTCTTTTTTTCATAAGAAATTGTATGGGTCATGGGAGAGATAGGAAGAAACAAATAACAGATAAAACAGAAAGGTCATGCTTGAAAGGATCAGTTGCCTGGTGTCAGTCAGCCAGAACACAGGATGGCATCACATGATGATGAAGAGGTCATGACCAGCCCTTTGACCCTATGCCATCCTTTTACGATGTTCATTGCAGGACCCACGGGATCAGGAAAAAGTTCCTTTGTGAAATCATGTATGGAGCAGATGCATCACCCCGAGGTGTTGGATACGTCACCCCATCGCATCGTGTGGGTGTACAGCGAATGGCAACCGCTTCATCATGAACTTGAAGAGATGGCAGACCGCTTAGGGGTCGCTCTTGAGTTTGTCTACAGCATGAAAGAAGCGGATCGTGCCTTGCCCGATAAAGGGGTGGCCCCACATTAGCTGGTCATTGATGATTTGCTGGGGGACAATACGAAAGAAGAAGAAACCGAAGTGCTGCGATGGTTCACCAAGAAAAGTCATCACCGAAACACATCTGTGCTGTATCTCACTCAGAACTTGTTTGCTCAATCGCCGCAACATCGCACCATCAGTCTGAATGCTCACTACATGGTCCTCTTTAAAAATCCGAGAGATGCATCGCAGATCGACAGTCTGGCTCGCCAGGTGTTTCCAGGCAAAGTTCCTTTTCTACGCTACCCGAGAGCCTTACACTTACCTGTTCTTGGACTTGAAGCCCACCACGTTGCAAGACCATCGCGTACGCGCCCGCCTGTTTTCGAGATCCGAATTACCCCTCGTGTATGTGCCGATCCTATGAGATGAAGAGACTTTCAAAAGGAGGTGAACCCTCAGACCTTCCTTCAGTTGACCTACATCCATCATGGGGCAAAGACGGAAACAGGTTCATCCTACGATGGGAAAGAACAAAGACAAAGAGATGGTGAATGATGTCTATGACAGTATGGTCTCCCCCTCATCGCTACAGGGACTTGTGACCTCTGTATTTCACAAGACTCCTTCACCACCAGGATCGTCTCCCTCTTCAATGGTACCCGTGAACATGCATCGTCAGCAGCAGCCATCGCCACGTCCTTCAACATCATCAGCACCTTCGCCACCCTCGTCACCACATGATCTTCAACACTTTCAGCAGCAGCAGCAGAAGGTAACGCCAGGTCCGTATTACTCTTCAATGTTACCCATGAACAAGCATCGTCAGGAACAACAACAGCCTTCCTCATCAGCACCCTCACCCCCACTCGATCTTCAACGCTTTCAACGTCTGCAGCAGCAGGAGCCCCCATGAAAGAAGAAAAAAGACAAGAGACCATCTATTTTTCCGACAAGGGATGCGACAACCCTTGCCGTCAAAGGAAGAAATCGTCTTTTGCAGTGGTTTGCGATTGTCGTGTGGAACCTGAGAGCAGGACACATCCCATTGAAAGCCCACATAAGACGTAGTTGCAGAGACATAATGATACCCTGACTAAAATTGTCAATCCACGTCTGCCTATGGATGAACGTCTTGACTACCTGATGCAACGCAGTGGTAGTGGAACACTTGCAGGGGTCTTGACACGCATTCTGTTGCAATGGCAACATTATCTTCAAGCACCACTCCTCAAACAGGGTAACACCAGGCGCCACCGACCTACAACAACAACAACGATGACTACTAAGCCAAAAGTAAAGGCTCATGAAAATGTCATGAAAGCATATCAAGCTGATGCTCTCAGACGATTGGTGCATATGCGGACCCAAAGAAAGTCCAAGAAGGCAGATCAACAGTTGCAACTCCCTCCTGCCACTGCCTGATAAAAGAGAGAAGCTGCAGATCAGGTGCCTCATTCAGGCTAACACC